TTTCATCTTTGCTGGGCTGGATTAAACTGTTTTGGATGCGATAGCTGAACAGTGTGCTCTTAATATAAAGGCGCCAGTCGGATGGATAATTTAAATGAAATTCAAGCATAAAGCTACAGTACGGAAAGATCGATTGATAGTCGTTTTATTTAAACTATTATATACATTGGAGAGACATAACAAAATTAAGATTCATAAGTCTGCTTGAGTGCGAATGCTCTCACAGAAATAGGGATATTCCTTAACGTCAAGAATTGTGTTTGAAAGAAAAAGGGAATCTTTGGAGGATGCATAAAAATGTTTAACTTGCACCCGAAACACCTGCTACGGTGAGAGTACATTTTTCCGTTATGTCTTTTCAAAGAGGAGCCATGAGAATGATCCGTCGATTGATTTTCAAAGTACCCCATAGCACTATAAAGTTTACAAAGAACATAATTTGTGTTTTATCTACCTGCTTGTGAAATTTGAATAGGCTTTGTCGACCGGGCTTTCTACACCAAAATTATAATTGTTGTGCCTTTTACCGCTAAAGACCTTTTTTTTCTTCACGCGATTGCATCTGATCGCAAATGAATGCTGTTGCTATGAGACTATACACGTTTGTAAACCTTTCGAAAAGGAATCTCTGCCCATGACAGAAACTACTCATACATCCCCATATTATGTTTCCTCGAATCTCAAACGTTAGAGTTTTGTCTTTTTCTTTCCTTCAAACTTACCCTACAACATTGAGAACTATCCACAAGCCTCTACGTTACCAGAACACGCAGTAATTGTCTGCGATCAGTTGCAATCAAATGGGATCGTATGCGCTCTGTTCCATGAAACTCATGTGAGCGAGAAAACACACATGTATTTGTGTTTATTTATTCAAATATTGTTTCTTTATTAAAGTTTTCCAGCAAGACAAAGTGTAAGTTGGTTTGTAACTTTGTAAATTGTACAACTCAGATTAAAACATGGAGATACAGTGAGTTCAAACATTCATGTATTTGATTATTGTTTGTTTTTTGGGGTCAGATTTGACTCATTTCAGACTCAACAAACGGATACAAACATACACTTGGAACAATCCCCAGGACTGAAACAGGAATGAAGAGCATATTTTATGAAGCGGGCCAGTTTAGATACAAATTTTGTGATAGGCTATGATTTGAACCTCTTGCATGCAAAAGTGTCTGGCCGTCTTTTCCTGTGTCAGTTTCGGTCCCTTCTTTGGTTAGTAAAGAGACCACTTTGTGCCCGGGACTACCTGTACAATTTGTCAACAATCTTCACATTGCTAGCAAGTTTTACAGGCAGTTGAAAAACCTCATCAGCTGGGAAGCAGAGAGTGTTGTCTCAACACAACATTGTAAACCATGGATTAGTATAAGGTGAAAAGATATGAATGGAATGATGTCGCTGAAACACATGTATTAAAGCATTAAAAACTGAGAAATGCAGGCCAAAGAGGGCGAGAAAAAAAGAAGAAAAAAACCCATTAAAAACTGAAAAATATCAGCCCAAAAAGGGCGAGAAAAAAAAAAAAAGAAAAAAAAAAGATGATTATTTTCCGACCGACCCATGTTTTAGCACCTAAGGCACAATATATTTTTTATTTTTTAGGCCTCATAGTTAATTACGTCACGGATTTATACAATTGGCATTCGGAATGTCGCCAGAATGCCCCACTCAGAATCCATTGTTTTGTTAGAACAGAATATAAAACAATGAAATTACACTTTACAAACAAATATGCAAGTTTTAATAAGTGAACCCATAATTATTTACAAAAAATTTAAGTACAAAATAGAATCATAGTGACAAAGTGAGGTGGAGAAGAAGAAAAAAATCTCACTTTTTATTTCTCTAGCGCAAGTGAGATTTTCTTTATTCGTTTCTTTCTCTCCGTCGGCTTAATTTTTGTCATGAAAGCCGGTAATATCAGCGACACTTCATTGTTTTCACCAATCTCTTTCTCTCACTTTTTATTTCTCTAGTGCCAGTGATATTGCAATTCATTTTCTTTATTTATTTCCAACGGCTTAAGTTTTATCATGAAAGCCGGTAAAATCAGCGATATTTAATCGTTTTCGCTTCTATCTCTCTCACTTTTTGTTTCTCTAGCGCAAGTGATATTTGAATTAATTTTCTTTATTCATTTCTTTCTTTCCGTCGGCTTAATTTTTGTCACAAAGCCGGTAATATCAGCGACAACTAATTGTCTCCGTAGGGGCAACAAAGTCTTGTCGATAATTATTGTTTTTAGATCTCCGTAGGGGCAACAAAACCTTGCCGATAATTATTGTTTTTAGATCTCCATAGGGGCAACAAAACGTTGCAGATAATTATTGTTTTTAGATCTCCGGAGGGGCAACTAAACCTTGCCGATAATTTTTGTTTTTAGATCTCCGGAGGGGCAACAAAACCTTGCCGATAATTATTGTTTTTAGACCTCCGTAGGAGCAACAAAGTCTTGCCGATAATTATTGTTTTTAGATCTCCGTAGGGGCACCTAAGTCTTGCCGATTATTATTGTTTTTAGATCTCCGTAGGAGCAACAAAACCTTGCAGATAATTATTGTTTTTAGATCTCCGTAGGGGCAACAAAACCGTGCTGATAATTATTGTTTTTAGATCTCCGTAGGGGCCACAAAGTCTTGCCGATAATTATTGTTTTTAGATCTTCGTAGGGGCAACAAAACCTTGCCGATAATTATTGTTTTTAGATATCCGTAGGGGCAACAAAACCTTGCTGATAATTATCGTTTTTAGATCTCCGTAGGGGCAACAAAGCCTTGCCGATAATTATTGTTTTTAGATCTCCGTAGGGGCAACAAAACCTTGCCGATAATTATTGTTTTTAGATCACCGTAGGGGCAACAAAGTATTGCCGATAATTATCGTTTTTTAGATCTCCGTAGGGGCAACAAAACCTTGCTGATAATTATTGTTTTTAGAAGTAGAAAATTAAAAAAAGCAGGCATGCATGATCTAGATAATCTTCAAAAAGGGAAAACAATCAACGTATTAATGAGGAAAACAAAATTGAAAAGGGAGAGATATTTTTAAAACACCCCCGCTTTTTACTGCCGTTTTGAACGGAATCGAGCGCTTTTGTAATACTGCCGTACAGAATATCGCGCCTCTTTTCTGCCGTAGAGGACAGTATGCGCATTCAGTGATAACGCATAACAAGCGCGCGCGATCGCGCTCATAGTCGCGCATTTTGAGCGCGATCAATTGCGTGCGATCAGTGTGACGTTGATCGCAGGCGGAACTGTAACTTAATTCAGAGCCCTAAAAAATATGTCACATGCAATAGGCCTAAAAAAAGAGAAAGATGTTGTATTGCCCTTTGCGACTGACCCAAAAATCTTGAAATCTACGGTCGGCTTTTTAAAAAAGTTTTGAAAAAGAATGTATTAAAGCATTCAAAACTAAAAATATCAGCCTTAAAGAGGGAGTAAAAAATATTTTTTAAATATTTCTGACCGACCGACCGACCCATGTTTTGGCACCTAAAGGTCAATGCAACATCTCTTTCTCTTTTTTAGGCCTTAGTAGAAGGCAACACATTGAGAAATTAAAAATAATTGTTTTCCGATCAAAATTGGCAATTTTTTACAGTTTAGTAGAACAATGTAGCAATAAAAGAAAAAATTATAGTTGCCAATTTGAAGGACAATATGTGATCAATTTAGCCCTAAAAATAACTCTATCCTGAAGGGATAACACATAAACACAGGGGTCAATATGAATAAGGAGCCACACCATCGTAGAATGTTTCAAAACTTTATTTCATTTGATGTCTATTTTGATCTTACAATACAATAATGAAGGTAAGTCTTCACTTAATTATCCAATAACAAACGCTTGGTGGAGTACCAAGATCTATTTATTCTAGAAATGATCCAATTTCGACATTTACAACTTTGCAAAATGCACTGGACAATCATTTGAACCCTTACAGCACAGAAGAATTGCAAAGGTGTACCATTCTTTTAGACTAAGAATCGATCAAATCTTTCTTGATAAAATAAGAGTGGGTTTATTTTTGTATGTAAAGCTTGTTCCCGTGAACATGAGCTGAATTAATTAGTGATAACAAAGAGAAAACTTGAATATCAGACTTGTATAAAAATTAAAAAAATTATTCACAAAATTAGCAGGATATCACAACTCACAAGTGCCCTGCACAAAGTGGAAGTAATACATTTTGGGGTATGAACAAAAAGAAAAGTCGGTATGACACTAGATTATTTAAAACATAATAAGTTATTTAGTATCGAACAGAATGAGTTATTTAGTATCAAGGAGGGTAACTACAGTGGAACCTCATTATAGAGAGCTCCGATATTATATTCTTTTGTCTTTTTACCCTGATATAACAAGATTCCTCATATAACGAGTTTCCACTGTATCTGTTAATTACTGTCTGCAGCTTCAACCGTTCTCAACTTTCCGGTTTTAGTTTTACGGTTTCTTGTAATTTTGAACAACATTGTAGATTAATCATTCTACTCTAAGTACTTGCAATGACACATAAGGCGGTGTCTCAAAGAGGCCAAAAATCTGGATTTTAGTTATCCTCTTAATTGCTGTCTGTCATCAATTATCCCTTAAAAAATCCTCTAACGAAGCAAGAAAATTCTCTCTTCAAAGAATTTTCCAAGGGATTTTTTAAGGGATTTTTTTTTGTGTGACACCGCCTATTGGCATTGATTCTTGTAACCTAGAACATTTCCATTGAAATCTACACATGTATATTTCTTTACTCTCTAAGAGTTGGCTAGTCATGACTGAATAAAACAATGTACACAAACACGATGGTGTAAACATATCAGGATTTCTGATATTCTTTCAAGAACATTATTTTTTGAAGGATATCGCAAACCACCCAGTTTTTATGGAAGGTTAATATACTGGGAAACATCTTTAATCATACTACTAGTATAACCATAAACTACTAAAATACCCGGTAAAACTACATAGGTTTTTCAGAAGGTGCTCTGCCAATGCACTCCAATGACTCCATAGTAAATTATCAAGGAGTCTACTCACTGCTTCAGGTATCAATATGCATCACAATACAGTAAATTAGCAAACCCATTCTTTTACGAGTGCAAGGTTCAGGAGTAAATGATATACCTCTATAATCATTCATTTGCCAATACATTTACGTGTACATGCAACTATTCTCATTATCACCTTTTTCATTAATATCATCAAAGGTCTATTCATCCTACCAATTACTATCATGTTCTTTACTTACAAATTGGACATACATGTACATACTGCCTCCATAAAAAACATGGTTAGGAACATAAGCCATATATATTCCATGACAGACATGGCACATTATAAATGTTCACTACGGTATTATTATTATTATTATGCTGTGTACTGTTGGCCAATTGGCATTCAACCTGCCTAAAAGAGCAAGTGAAGAAATACGATTGGACACAGCAGTCATGCACCTTAACAATGAGATATTGAAACAATATTGCACATTAATCTAAACTGGTGCATAACATAAGAGAAACAACAATTTTTATTTCTATCTCTCCCTTCAATATTCCAGATTTTCTTTAAGATTCTTAATACCATCCAGAAATCATCTTGCTTTATATTCTCTCCAATAAATTCCAAATATTTCAGTTTTTGAGTATCTTCAATTCCTTTAAAAATGAGAGATAATATCTTCCAAGTTCTAGGAGCATTATTTTAAGCTCATCCTCCATCTTTGTTTTATCAAAGACAACTTTATCGAAGACAACACTCTGTGAGAGCTCTCAACATTAACATCTTCATCTTTAATCTCTTTCCTGCCCCCTCTTATAAGTGGCTAAAGAGAATTAAAAAAACAGACAAAAAGATTTCTATTTTATATCTTCTTACTAGGCTACTACATCTTTGAAATGAACCCTCATGACTTAAATTGAACATCACAAATATATAAACAATGACTCTCGGTGATTCAAACTTGAACTGCTGGGTTGTGGCCTATATTTGGCACCTGCAATTTCCCAAAACAGCATGTTCTGTTCGTCAATTAATGAGGTCAAACTTCCAAAAGATGATGTAGCTTTGAGAAAGGCAACAGCACCACACTTAGTTGGTAAAAAGGCAGTGAAATCCATATGATATACAGCGATGCAGCATTATCTGCAGAAATTTGTTTATTCTTGGTCCTAACTGAGAGAAGTGACCTTTCAGCCTCCTAGGAGACTGGTTTGAATTGAATTTTTTGGCAGATTGAAGTATTCACTGGCATGTTTATTACGCCTCTCCATATCTTTGTCAGGGAAGGTTTATCCTTGATACAATCAATCTGGTATCGCCCAGACTTGATACGAGCACCAAAGTCCTTGTGCACTAACAAGAGCCCTGCCCCTCTCTCTCTCTCTCTGACGATTGAGACATGATGAACAACGTACCCCGATCCATGATACCAAGCATTAACCCATTAAGTATGGTTTGATTTAGGCCATGGGACCTTGCCAGGGACCTTGCCTAAGATCAGGCAAAAGGTCTAAGGTAGCAGCAGCATTAAAGGGTGATCACAATGCTTCATTCTAATCTCTCATCTCCCTCCTCCACCTCCTTCAGACTCAGCACCTCCACCATTCCCTTTCCTCTGGTGCTCTCCTTGACCAGTTCCTCCATCTCTCTGTAGCATCCAGGATCAGCTAGGCAAACCTGAGATCAAAGAACAGTATCACAATGATATATGGCTTTTTGTATGGTGCTCATTTTAGTGGTGGATCAGGAAAGGGGCACAGGGAGAACCTCCTCTCCACCTGCCCCATGTCTGTGGAGCCTTTAAACCCCATTGGGAAAATCCAACCACTTGTTGTTGTGTGTGTTTTTTTTTTGGGGGGGGGGGTGGTGCTTTAACCCTATTTTTGTGGTGTAATCATGGCTCAGAAATGTATTTTTTTTTTTTTTTTTTTTGGTTATCCTTGTCAGAATGTTTAGAGAATTTGTGAGAAAGGGTAGACAACTAAATCCTAGCCTCATCATGCCACACACATGCTCTGATGACTAAAGCTCTGCAGAAAACTTCTCACACATTCAAATTCACTGTTGTCTAACCTCAAACCCAATCACAACCCTATTTAAACCCTATATCATAGGATAAATAAGGAGTAAACACCGTCAGAGCATATGATGGGTCAACCCCTGCCAAAAATATGAGGGGTGCATGATCTTTACAATCAAAATTTGTAAAACTTTTCATAATGCAATTGACAACATAACATTAAACAATTAAACAACTGCAACATATGAGACTTTGAACATTGGAGGAAATTTTTAAAAAAAATGTTCTTAAAAATTTCTCAACGTCATACAGTATTGAGGTTGTGAGTTGGATGAGTCTACTTACCATCTCTAGACCATCGCTGAAGTTCTCTTCTTCCACGGTAGCGATGAGTTGAATCAGTTTGCTCTTCACCTTCTTGGCTTCCTTGCCTGGGAGCACTATCCTCAACCTCATCTGGGCGCGGTCTATCGCCATGGTTTCTGTCTCTCGCAGTTTTCGGATCACCTCCAGAGCCTTTGGTAAAGAAGTTATGAAATTCATGTAGACCATTTCATTTTTTTTGCATCACTCTCTCTCCCTAAGACCTTTGGCATCCCTCTTCTACTCAATTTTGTCTTTACCCTTTCTGGTAGATACAAGTTTAAGTATAGTTTTTTAAACTAGGGAGAGTCCCTGAGTGTTACATGGTCATATGATGCCTATAGGTGTCCAACTGTCCACGAGCAATTCCTAGGCATTTGATTGCATATCAAGTACCAGTGGTGTGGTGTGGGTCGAGGTCAACGAGAGGCCAGTAGTATCATAGGGGGGGGAGACACATCTGACTTACCAGTTGCATGAAATGCTTTAAACAAAACAAAATAAGGCCAGTGAGTAGGGGGGTGGGGTGTATTGGATGGGGGTTGCTTCATCTTATCTTCATATTGTCTTCCCCTTCTCCATTCCTTTATCTCCTTTCCTTTTTTTCCTTCCCTTTTTGCCATTCCATGGGGGAAGGGGGCACATGCCCCTTGAAGCTACACCACTGTACATACCTGTTGCTTTGTACCCCTGTTTGGTTTGACTGAGAAGTGTATATCCTTCATAGCTCTCTCTATCATGCCTACAGTGTAAGGTCTCTTGGTTTCGGGTTAACGCACTTCTCTGCCACGATGGTCGCGATGTCACGGAACATGGACTCCAGCTGCTGGTTACGCTCCTTGTCCGAGACCTGAAGCTCACCCTTGGCCAAAATCTGCAGAATTTAGGGGATAAATCAATAATGGTTTGGTTACTATAATATGTACATGTACATGACATCTCACAGGGCTTTGACAATTTGAAGAATTGTACTAATGATTTCTCAGAATCTTGCCCATATAATTAAAAGGTCATGTTCTAAAATCCTTGCTTGTGCGATGATATTATGTACTACATCTTCATCTTTTGAAGTTTATCATTTGTTTCACTCATATGGCTGAAAAACTGAGTAAAAGTTAGTTAGGAATGAAAGTCTGTTGTGTCACAGAGTTGAAGACTGGAGCAAACATTGCCCTCAGCTGTTATGAAAAGATGAACATTAGCCATTCCTCTGTGATGTTTCTCTTAAAATTACCGGTAGTTAGTTAGTTGCTCTAATATGTGTCCTGACACTATAAAGATGGGGAAAATTTGTGAAGCACAATATCTGCTTCAATTTTTTGTCTGAAGTCAAACCTTGAACAATATCAGCAATCCTTCACATGTTAATCAACATTTGTGACAACGTTGTGACATTACTAAGTTTTTTGTTTTAAGAATTCCACTGGACAACAATTTAAACAAGCTGACTTGGGCCCTGTTTCATAATACTTGTTATCGATAACAAATGCTTAATTTCTATGATAAATTTGCTTTCAGCTAATCAGATGCCATGATTTCAGTAGCTTATAACAGTTATTGTACATGTAACTTCTTATTGATAACAAGTTTTAGGAAACAGGGCCCGACTCAACAAACTGCCCTAGAGAAACTATCAACAAACTGTCCACCGATATACCACTTAATGCTTAAAGGAACAAGGTTTTAAGCTATTGACTGCTGAAGCTTCTCATTTCGATTTAAAACAGGAGCCACTTAGTTCCTGTAGGCAGTGGGTTAAATTGCACAATGATAAGTTGAGGATATCAGTACTAACCTGCTTACAGATCTCAGTGGTGTCTTCTGTTCCAAAGGCTTTTACGAGATCTTCTCTCTTGGCACCCTGACCCTTGGAAACGTTCACAAAGACTGTGTGCGTCTGCAATACCTCATCAATGTCCTTCTCCCTGTAATTACAAGATTTGATATTAATTAAGACATATCAGGATCAGAAAACATTGGAATAGATTTTCTTCATCTCCATCACCATCATCATCAAAAAATTAATGATCATTGTGATCCTACCCTTGATCCTCAACCCTATAAATTGATCATCCCCTCATTATTTTCCATCATAAATCATCACATGTTCACATCAAGAAACATAATCACTTCAGCACAACGCATTCATCATCATCATAATTTCTATCATTATCATAGACCAAATTTTCCATCTCTTTCGTTCGTTAAGCCTCTTACTTGGGTAGGGTCGGCTCTCTCTTTGCCGACCCTACCCAAATAAGAGGCTTAACGAAAGAGACGGAAAATTTGGTCTATCATTATCATAACTTCATTGTTCTCTTCACCACCCATCATATCTCCATGATCCATCGTCATCATCATCAGTGATCAGTCTCATTATCATCAACATCACCATCATGTTCATTTGACATCATCAATCATGATCATCACAATCATTGTTATCATCACCATTATCTCCATCATCATCATCTCCATCAATCATGTCATCATCATTAACCAGCTTTAACATCACAATCATCAATTCCTGTCGTAACTTCATTCATGTTCCCAAAAATAAATGATTTTATTTTTAAATGATTCAATGTTTACAAATTCGTTTTGAAATTAAATTAAAAATAAAAGAGTGATTTTCTTACACTTTATTTCTCCATGACATGACCTTGTTCTTGTAGCAAGCTATCTCGAATCTTTTGCCAGTTTTCTTCATTCGAACGATGGCAACATTTGTCAGACGGATCTGATTTGTTGGAGTAAAAATTGTTCCTGACATGATGGCAGATTTATCGCGGAACTATCTCTGAAGTATGATTAGATCTCTAGAGTCTAGGCTAATTGCACAATAATTTTAAGGCCTTTATGACTTATCTCCGGTCCCAACAATATGTGATCCAACAGTAACGTTACAGCTACTACTGAGTTCTACAAGTAACCGAAAAACAAGATGACAGGCAAGAAGATGTATTGCGCAATCACTCGTAACGTAAATACCGTGCTCGCTAGCTTTCGATCTCGCCCGCTGATCATGCCTGCAGCGCAGTGGTCCTCTCAGCATGCACAGCATCGTGTAAGCCGACAGACACGGGCAGTTTTCCACGCTTGAGCACAGTATGAAAGGTAGGCAATCTTTTGGAACCTGTAGAGGTTTGCGCGTTGCGCACGTCACTACGTAAAGGAAATGTTGACGCCCCCTAATGAATATGCATTATGCTTGTGCCGACACGGCGTGTGTACTGTCCGTTCACGCTGTGCATGCATATCTATCTAGGCTATGACAGCACATCTGCACTATATACTGATTCAAGAAAGGGAATATATGTATATCACTACACTTGTATTGTTTTGAATACATTAATTGCATCAATACTTGCATCAATTAAGTTAGTGCATATGCATCTAACCTGTTCCAAACTGCATTTTGCGTGTCCCAAATTTATATCTTTTTCATAGGTGCATTGTTTGCATCAATCAAGTTATTGCATTGTACATGTTCCAAGCTGCCTTCTACGTGTTTCAAAATTTCTATCTTTCGGTAATTGTATTGTTTGACTACACACTCCCATTATTTAAGTTATTGCATTGTATAATTATGTTCCAAGCTGCATTCTACGTGTTCCAAAATGTCTATCTTTTGGTAATTGTGTTGTTTTGCCTACACACTCCCATCATCCAAAATTGCATTGTACATGTTCCAAGCTGCATTCTACGTGTTCCAAATTTTCTATCTTTCGGTAATTGTATTGTTTGACTACACACTCCCATTATTTAAGTTATTGCATTGTATAATTATGTTCCAAGCTGCATTCTACGTGTTCCAAAATGTCTATCTTTTGGTAATTGTGTTGTTTTGCCTACACACTCCCATCATCCAAATTATTGCATTGTACATGTTCCAAGCTGCATTCTACGTGTTCCAAATTTTCTATCTTTCGGTAATTGTATTGTTTTGACTACACACTCCCATCATTCAAATTATTGCATTGTACATGTTCCAAGCTGCATTCTAGGTGTTCCAAAATTTCTATCTTTGGGTAATTGTATTGTTTTACCTACACACTCCCATCATTCAAATTATTGCATTGTACATGTTCCAAGCTGCATTCTACGTGTTCCAAAATTTCTATCTTTAGGGGATAATATTGTTTTGATTACACACTCCCATCATTCAAATTATTGCATTGTACATGTTCCAAGCTGCATTCTACATGTTCCAAAATTTCTATCTTTGGGTTATTGTATTGTTTTGTCTACACATCACTCAGGCGCGGATCCAGGATTTTCCAGTAGGGGGGGGGGGGGGCGGAAATTTAAAAATTGCGCAGACCGTTTTTGTCCAACTCAATATACCAATACTGACAAGGTCATAATAGAAGCCCATACCGGAACATCGGGGGGGGGGGGGCTATAGCCCCTTGCCCCAAAAATTAATTTTCTGGATTCACAATTCGGCTAGTGAGCGAAGCGAGCGAGCAAAAATTTTAGCATAATATGTATTTTGTGAAAGTGTTATTTGTCACCAAAATAAACGAGAAAAGATTAAAAAAAAAAAAAAAAAAAAAAAAAAAAATCATATTCGGGCAGCTCGCTGTTCCCCCCCCCCCATTACTGGCGAAGCGCTTAAGCTTTGACGTTTTATAAATTATTAGAGATAGAAGATGATTCGTTGTTCCATTCTCGACTCTCAATCCTTTTCTAAATTCAATTTTCCCCCGCCCGCGCGTAAACTTCTGACGCTTCTTTAAATTATGAGAGAAAGAAGATGATTCGTTGTTCCACTCTCGATTCTCAATCCTTGTTTGAATTCAGTTTTCTTTAAATTATTAGAGAAAGAAGACGATACTTTGTTCCATTCTCGTCTCTTAATCCTTGTTTGAATTCAGCTTTCCTCCTTCAGCACGAGGCGTGGAAGCTTTGACGTTTATTAAATTATTAGAGAAAGAAGACGATTCGTTGTTCCGTTCTCGACTTGTCAGAATTTCCAAAAATGTTGCTTTGTCTGCTCCTTTTTCGTCCTATGTCCTCTTACTGCCCCTACCGCCCCTAGCTACGCGCCTGCTTTAAAGGGAAAATGAAACAATCATGATTGTGATGGCACATAATTAGGTTAGTAGAAATGAAAGAAAAAACAGATCTATTACACCAACCATGGATAAATCACGGCCCGGGAGCGTCATATCATAGTTTTGTGTTATCGGGCGAGGGCCGGGGTGTACGTAGCGACCAAGCGAGATTTTGCAATGTTGAATGCTGAAATCATGTATTCTAGAAAATCCCTAAGCTCAATATGTACGTTCTTTCCGCTAGATTTCTTTCTAGCTATATTTCTAAATTTCCTGGGGGACGTGTCCCCTATCGGATCTAGGATTGCCGCCCCTGTCCATGATTACTACCAACATGAGTTCAAATACAAACACAAGCGAGTTGGTTGTGAGCTGAATCCAAATGAAGGGCAAAATAAGAGTTGTGAAGCGCCCTACCGTTTATTTAAAATCTGACTGTTGAGTATTATAGCTTCTATTTAAAAGAGATCCAACATATTGTGCCCTTTTCAAATTTCTCACTAAAGAGTGATGACCTTTGTAGCGCAGGGGCTGTTTTTAACGTTTAACTTTGAATACGCGGCTCGAGATTTTATGCGGCCGGTGTGGCCTGGCCCCCTCTATTCAATAACGTTTGCCAAGCCTTCAGGAATGACATCCAAATCTCCGGATTACAGTTTTCCCTTATTCGTCGTTACTGTCACTTAGCGCCATTTCCTTTTCCTTCCCCCTTTCTCACCCGACTTTTCTCTTCCCCACCCACTCAGTGTTATCTAGGGTACGCGCAGGGGCGTCGCTAGACCTTTTTCTCTAATAATTTAATGAAAACTAAATTCAAACAAGGATTAAGAGTCGAGAATGGAACAACGAATCATCTTCTTTCTCTAATAATTTAATAAAACGTAAAGCTTCCACGCCTCGTGCTGAAGGGGGAAAGCTAAATTCAAACAAGGATTAAGAGACGAGAATGGTACAAAGAATCGTTTTCTTTCTCTAATAATTTAAAGAAAACTGAATTCAAACAAGGATTAAGAGTCGAGAATGGAACACCGAATCATCTTCTTTCTCTCATAATTTAATGATGCGTCAAAGCTTATGCGCTTCGCCAGTAATGGGGGGGGGGGATATGAATTTTTTTCTATCTTTTCTCATTTATTTTGGTGACAAATAACACTTTCACAAAATACATATTATGGTAAAATTTTTGCTCGCTCGCTTCGCTCACTAGCCGAATTGTGAAACCAGAAAATTACTTTTTTCGGGCAAGGGGCTATAGCCCCCCCCCCCCCCGATGTACCGGTATGGTGCTTCTATTATGACCTTGTCAGTATTGGTATATTGAGTTGGACAAAAACGGTCTGCGCAATTTGTAAATTCCGCCCCCCCCCCCCCCCCCCCCCCCCCCCAACTATTGTAAAATCCTGGATCCGCGCCTGAGTGATGTGTAGACAAAACAATACAATTACCCAAAGATAGAAATTTTGAAACACGTAGAATGCAGCTTGGAACATGTACAATGCAATGATTTGGATGATGGGAGTGTGTAGGCAAAACAATATTATCCCCTAAAGATATACATTTTGGAAGACGTAGAATGCAGCTTGAAACAAGTACAATGCAATAATTTGAATGATGGGAGTGTGTAGGCAAAACAATACAATTACCAAATGATAGAAATTTTGGAACACGTAGAATGCAGCTTGGAACATGTACAATGCAATAATTTGGATGATGGGAGTGTGTAGGCAAAACAACACAATTACCAAAAGATATACATTTTGGAACACGTATAATGCAGCTTGGAACATGTACAATGCAATAACTGGGAGTATAGGCAAAACAACACAATTACCAAAAGATAGAAAATTTGGAACACATAGAATGCAGCTGGGAACATGTACAATGCAATAATTTGGATGATGGGAGTGTGTAGGCAAAACAATATTATCCCCTAAAGATATACATTTTGGAACACGTAGAATGCAGCTTGGAACATGTACAATGCAATAATTTGGATGATGGGAGTGTGTAGGCATAACAATATTACCCCCTAAAGATAGAAATTTTGGAACACGTAGAATGCAGCTTGGAACATGTACAATGCAATAACTGGGAGTGTGTAGGCAAAACAACACAATTACCAAAAGATATACATTTTGGAACACGTAGAATGCAGCTTGGAACATGTACAATGCAATAATTTGGATGATGGGAGTGTGTAGGCATAACAATATTATCCCCTAAAGATAGAAATTTTGGAACACGTAGAATGCAGCTTGGAACATGTACAATGCAATAACTGGGAGTGTGTAGGCAAAACAACACAATTACCAAAAGATAGACATTTTGGAACACGTAGAATGCAGCTTGGAACATGTACAATGCAATAACTGGGAGTGTGTAGGCAAAACAACACAATTACCAAAAGATAGAAAATTTGGAACACGTAGAATGCAGCTTGGAACATGTACAATGCAATAATTTGGATGATGGGAGTGTGTAGGCAAAACAATATTATCCCTTAAAGATATACATTTTGGAACACGTAGAATGCAGCTTGGAACATGTACAATGCAATAATTTGGATGATGGGAGTGTGTAGGCAAAACAATACAATTACCCAAAGATAGAAATTTTGGAACACGTAGAATGCAGCTTGGAACATGTACAATGCAATAACTTGATTGATGGGAGTGTGTAGGCAAAACAACACAATTACCAAAAGATATACATTTTGGAACACGTAGAATGCAGCTTGGAACATGTACAATGCAACTGGGAGTGTGTAGGCAAAACACACAATTACCAAAAGATAGAAAATTTGGAACACGTAGAATGCAGCTTGGAACATGTACAATGCAATAATTTGGATGATGGGAGTGTGTAGGCAAAACAACACAATTACCAAAAGATAGACATTTTGGAACACGTAGAATGCAGCTTGGAACATGTACAATGCAATAACTTGATTGATGGGAGTGTGTAGGCAAAACAACACAATTACCAAAAGATATACATTTTGGAACACGTATAATGCAGCTTGGAACATGTACAATGCAATAACTGGGAGTATAGGCAAAACAACACAATTACCAAAAGATAGAAAATTTGGAACACATAGAATGCAGCTGGGAACATGTACAATGCAATAATTTGGATGATGGGAGTGTGTAGGCAAAACAATATTATCCCCTAAAGATATACATTTTGGAACACGTAGAATGCAGCTTGGAACATGTACAATGCAATAATTTGGATGATGGGAGTGTGTAGGCATAACAATATTACCCCCTAAAGATAGAAATTTTGGAACACGTAGAATGCAGCTTGGAACATGTACAATGCAATAACTGGGAGTGTGTAGGCAAAACAACACAATTACCAAAAGATATACATTTTGGAACACGTAGAATGCAGCTTGGAACATGTACAATGCAATAATTTGGATGATGGGAGTGTGTAGGCATAACAATATTATCCCCTAAAGATAGAAATTTTGGAACACGTAGAATGCAGCTTGGAACATGTACAATGCAATAACTGGGAGTGTGTAGGCAAAACAACACAATTACCAAAAGATAGACATTTTGGAACACGTAGAATGCAGCTTGGAACATGTACAATGCAATAACTGGGAGTGTGTAGGCAAAACAACACAATTACCAAAAGATAGAAAATTTGGAACACGTAGAATGCAGCTTGGAACATGTACAATGCAATAATTTGGATGATGGGAGTGTGTAGGCAAAACAATATTATCCCTTAAAGATATACATTTTGGAACACGTAGAATGCAGCTTGGAACATGTACAATGCAATAATTTGGATGATGGGAGTGTGTAGGCAAAACAATACAATTACCCAAAGATAGAAATTTTGGAACACGTAGAATGCAGCTTGGAACATGTACAATGCAATAACTTGATTGATGGGAGTGTGTAGGCAAAACAACACAATTACCAAAAGATATACATTTTGGAACACGTAGAATGCAGCTTGGAACATGTACAATGCAACTGGGAGTGTGTAGGCAAAACACACAATTACCAAAAGATAGAAAATTTGGAACACGTAGAATGCAGCTTGGAACATGTACAATGCAATAATTTGGATGATGGGAGTGTGTAGGCAAAACAACACAATTACCAAAAGATAGACATTTTGGAACACGTAGAATGCAGCTTGGAACATGTACAATGCAATAACTTGATTGATGGGAGTGTGTAGGCAAAACAACACAATTACCAAAAGATATACATTTTGGAACACGTAGAATGCAGCTTGGAACATGTACAATGCAATAACTGGGAGTGTGTAGGCAAAACAACACAATTACCAAAAGATAGAAAATTTGGAACACGTAGAATGCAGCTTGGAACATGTACAATGCAATAATTTGGATGATGGGAGTGTGTAGGCAAAACAACACAATTACCAAAAGATAGACATTTTGGAACACGTAGAATGCAGCTTGGAACATGTACAATGCAATAACTTGATTGATGGGAGTGTGTAGGCAAAACAACACAATTACCAAAAGATATACATTTTGGAACACGTAGAATGCAGCTTGGAACATGTACAATGCAATAACTGGGAGTGTGTAGGCAAAACACACAATTACCAAAAGATAGAAAATTTGGAACACGTAGAATGCAGCTTGGAACATGTACAATGCAATAATTTGGATGATGGGAGTGTGTAGGCAAAACAACACAATTACCAAAAGATAGACATTTTGGAACACGTAGAATGCAGCTTGGAACATGTACAATGCAATAACTTGATTGATGGGAGTGTGTAGGCAAAACAACACAATTACCAAAAGATATACATTTTGGAACACGTAGAATGCAGCTTGGAACATGTACAATGCAATAACTGGGAGTGTGTAGGCAAAACAACACAATTACCAAAAGATAGAAAATTTGGAACACGTAGAATGCAGCTTGGAACATGTACAATGCAATAATTTGGATGATGGGAGTGTGTAGGCAAAACAACACAATTACCAAAAGATAGACATTTTGGAACACGTAGAATGCAGCTTGGAACATGTACAATGCAATAACTTGATTGATGGGAGTGTGTAGGCAAAACAACACAATTACCAAAAGATATACATTTTGGAACACGTAGAATGCAGCTTGGAACATGTACAATGCAATAACTGGGAGTGTGTAGGCAAAACACACAATTACCAAAAGATAGAAAATTTGGAACACGTAGAATGCAGCTTGGAACATGTACAATGCAATAATTTGGATGATGGGAGTGTGTAGGCAAAACAACACAATTACCAAAAGATAGACATTTTGGAACACGTAGAATGCAGCTTGGAACATGTACAATGCAATAACTTGATTGATGGGAGTGTGTAGGCAAAACAACACAATTACCAAAAGATATACATTTTGGAACACGTAGAATGCAGCTTGGAACATGTACAATGCAATAACTGGGAGTGTGTAGGCAAAACACACAATTACCAAAAGATAGAAAATTTGGAACACGTAGAATGCAGCTTGGAACATGTACAATGCAATAATTTGGATGATGGGAGTGTGTAGACAAAACAACACAATTACCAAAAGATAGACATTTCGGAACACGTAGAATGCAGCTTGGAACATGTACAATGCAATAATTTGATTGATGGGAGTGTGTAGTCAAAACAATACAAATACCGAAAGATAGAAATTTTGAAACACGTAGAAGGCAGCTTGGAACATGTACAATGCAATAACTTGATTGATGCAAATAATGCACCTATGAAAAAGATATAAATTTGGGACACGCAAAATGCAGTTTGGAACAGGTTAGATGCATATGCACTAACTTAATTGATGCAAGTATAGATGCAATTAATATATTCAAAACAATACAAGTGTAGTGAAATACATATATTCCCTTTCTTGAATCAGTATATAGTGCAGATGTGCTGTCATAGCCTATAGATAGATATGCATGCACAGCGTGAACGGACAGTACACACGCCGTGTCGGCACAAGCATAATGCATATTCATTAGGGGGCGTCAACATTTCCTTTACGTAGTGACGTGCGCAAACCTCTACAGGTTCCAAAAGATTGCCTACCAGTATGAAAGGCAGGGCAGGCTATCATGAGAAATCAGTGTGTTACCAATTTAAACAATCTATTTTAATGTATATAAAATACTAATTTTATGCATTATATAATAATTTTAATACATATAAATAATTTAAAATTACAGTTTATATTTTAAAATGGTAAAAAAACTCAATTTTAAAACGGAATGTTAAAAAATAAAATTTATTTTGTCACAAGTTATGTTCTCATAACAGCTGTTTGGTGACCTATGATGACATTTGCATCAGATCGGTCGATAATGCCGAAAGGAAGTTCTATAATCCACGTCAACGAAATCAATTTTTGGATATAATCTACCCGAAAAGCTGTCAGTATGGCTGATTCTTGTTTAACAGGATTTGCAGAAGAAATAGACGATTTGGCGAAAGAGTATGAATCAATGAAAGTACGTATAAATTAGTTGTTTAACTATTGTTTTCCTTCTGCTGTAGGGTCCGGGTTGGATCAGCCAGCGTAATTTATAAAATGGCTCTAGTATTTTAAGCATCGTGATTGGTCAATACGCGTCACATGACATTGAAAAAATTTTGATGCAAGCACGATTTTGCAGAAATGAGTGCAGAAAAAGCGCAGTAAAAAGTTATATTGCACGGTGCGTACGCGTGACCATGGAGATCCAGTGCGCGCGCGTACGTGTAGTACGCGCTCCCTCGAGTTGCATTGCAATTATTGTAGGCTACGCGTAGCTAATATTGTACGCTCCACCATGATCCCAAGCGCAGCTAGCGTACGCGTAGCTTAGCTCTAGCTATAGAGCTAGAGCGGGGTATTATTAGAAAGCAAATTTTTGTTTTACTTTTGCCTTGGATTTAGACCCGTTTTGACTTTTGGATTTTATAATGAAGCCAGGAATTTCAGCTGTCTGATGTAGACTCGTCTCTAGACACCCTATGCATTTTATTTTTAATCAAACAATGAATCCCGTGGACTTTTTGGTAAGCCTGCAAGGTCTTAGACCCTCATTTTATTTCTAGAACCAACATAACTCTAGATCTAGACTAGATCGAACTCTCGTATACTTAAGATCTAAACTTTTGTTTGTTGCTGTTTGTGTCGCTATTTTATAAAACAAATAACGCACTTGACCCTGTTGTGCGAAACGTAAATGCAGTGTTCGCTCGGTTTCTTCAGATGGTTCGCACTGTCAACTCGCCGCAAGCGGCTCGTTCACAGAGCGGCACCAATCTAAAGAAACCTCGCGCGTACTGCATTCACCGCTATTGCACTCTGGGACGTGCGTTATTTGTATATTAATCAACGGCTGGCCCAGTAGAGACCCGATGAACTAAGGCTGCCCAGGTGTGTGTCACTAGTTCTAGTGTGTGTGTGTGAGGGGCGTTATTTCTGAGAAATGTGATTGTCTGTAATTTTGTTTTGTGCAATTTTAAAAACTAATGTTAACATGCTTGATAACTACTACTACTACGTGTGCTTAGATTATTTCTACCGTAGCATAGTCTAGGTGTGGGGATTTTTCTAGCAAGACATTTATGAATTTTGATTAAAATTAAAGTTTAAACAAACAAACTCAATTTTAGTTTTTTTTTAAAATTCTAAATTAATTAGATTTTTGATCATGTTGTTTGCCATTGCAATGTAACTTTGTGAAGATCAAACATAACTCGGGGGAGGGGGATTTTACCAGCGTTCCTTTGCCCCTCGTTTCTAAGCCTAAGGACAAACCCGGTTTAGAACCAGAGACTGAGTTAGCATTACGTTCGCCCAGGCCTATGGCTTTGGCTCCCTCTCTCATTTATGTCAGAATCTATAGGATATTTAGATATCTATGGCCAAATTTCATAGACTGTGCCACTTTTATTTTTGTGTCAAATCTGAACACAATTAAATAGTAGATTGATGATGATAAAACATTATTTTTGATTAAAATCTATTGATTTCAACTACAACGAGGAGGAGCTCCATTTTAAAATGTGATATTGTTATGACTTACGAATCTTAACTACCGGGTATTCTTAATGATATACAAACCATATATAAACCATCACAGTCATGGGTAAATCTTAGATGTTTTTTTCGTTAATATTTTGCTGCTTGAGTATAAATCTTGTGTTGGGTGAGGTGCAGGAGAAATGATGTAGAACAGTAGAACCTTCTCATCGTAATAATATCTTAATTCTACTTTTCTATTTCAGGAGCTTCATAAAAAGTACAAGGATAAGCTTGAGGAAGTTCAGTCAATGCAGAAAAAGTGTGCAACTTTGGTAGGCCATCAGAAGAAAAGATATAAGCAGATTGCAGAAGGAATCAAAGAGTAAGTCCACTAACTCAATTTTCAAATTCTTCTAATGTCTTGTCTGATGATAATTATGCATTCAATGTGGTCAATTATATAGCCACAAATTATAAAGTTATTTTATGAAATCTCATGAAATAGCTAAACAAAATTGTAGTTATGAATTGGAGAAGAAAAAAAAAATCACTTAATTTACAGTTAAAATATATGTGCATCAAAATTCATCTTTCATTTTAATTCTTTGCCATACTTTATAGGCTGTATAAGTCAACAAAATAAGACATGTCAAATATCTATGATGAAGGGCAGCTTTTTTACATGTAAATTTCCAATTACTTGAAAAAATTAGTTTGTATTCGTTCCTTTGAGGTGAAGTTTGGAAGTCAAAGTCAACTGTGATGACATGTATCTTTGTATTTTTCTTCAAAGAAAAAGCCCAGGCCTGAGTGGAGAGGAGAAGGCCAAGTGTAATGAGCTGAAGACTTTGGTTGAAGACAGGAAGAAGAATTGTATTGAGGTGCTGGATACTCTCCCAAGGTCCAACAAGTAAGTTTTAAAGTCATACCGTGTTTACATATTTTGAGTAGAGATTGAGTGATTTAGTGTTTAGAGCAGTCAAGAGCTGATGAAATTAGGAGCCTGATATCAATATTGATAGCTTAACACTGACACCGAACTGGAAATCAACATTTGCTTAATCCCTAGGGGCTAGTGTTAGTGAAAAGGGCATTTGTACGTAAAAGAATTAACACCAGCCATAAAGGTCGGTTTAACAGATGACAATTTTGCAAAATCGATAACACTAGCTACCAGAAGTTGTCAATATTCAGAGGTAAAAGCCTTTAGACCAGCTGATTTCCATTTCGGTTTTGAAGGCTTGTGTTGGTGTTTAATAAACTCTAACACCAGGCTAAAACACCCAACTTGAAATCGCTCATTGTAATAAACGCCATACCAAGATCCTGACCCCATGTTCTTCTATGAGAGAAAAGTGCCATTTGGGCATTAGTTTTGTTGTTTTTGGTTGTGCTTTTTCTTTGAATGATGATACTATGCACCTTTGATCAAGTCTAAAAGAAAATGCCATTGATATCCTGCTGTACTTTGGTTATTTTAGCATATATTTAAGATTGATCTTTGCTGATTAATCAATCAAAATTATATTCACCAAAGTTAGATTCATCTATATCTACAATTAGACAATGATTGTGAATGATTTTAATTACACCTCTTACATAAGCCAGTTATGATGTGTGTGTATATTACATCCATTAAGAAAAAAATAATGGTCTGTTTATGAATAGGGCCATGAACGTTCATAGCTTAGACAACAATGTGACATTAACCTAACATTTATTAAAACATTGACAAAATAATTTGTATCTCTACAGAATATTTTATTTTCCCTTTCAAATCTTAAAGAAACATCAGTTCTTCATCTGTCTATTTTTTTTATAATCCCTGTTTAGAAACTATTATATTTGAGGTGTTTTGTAAGCTTGTTGATACCATCTTTGATAATTCATATCAATTTCTTTTTCTTTTTGCTAGCTTCTTGTTGAGTACCACACTTGGACCAGTCAGTGTTTCCATCTTGAGTAAAAAAGACAGGTGAGATTTGAAGCATTTAGTATTGTGCCCTAGGCTACAGAAACAGTATCAATGGGTTGCTAAAGTCTACCAGATAATAACGACCCTTCATCAATAAAAGAATTTCATTTTTATTATTGAAAAAAAAAAAAAAAAAAATTAGTTTTGGAGGGTAGTTTTGTAATCAGTTATTTGTAAATGATCAGATGTATCGATAAGTGAAAAGTGGTGACTTAATAATTCCTTTCAGGACAAGTCCAAGCTACTTTGTCTCATTTTCTACTGACCACATCTAAGATTTTAGTATATCTGATGACTGTATCAAGCTGATAACCCTAGTAGATTTTGAATCAGACAAAACATCAACTAAACTTATATTCATATGTCAGTTTATGTTAATAATAAGTTGGTTATGTACAGTATGTAATGGTACATGCATTTGACTTGCCCTTCAACATAGCTGCAAAATTGCAAAATAAAAATAATAACTCCAGATAATAAATATTAAACAAATTTTTCTGAACTCCCATTATTTTTCACAAGTCCAGAATGCATTTTCCAAATTCCTTTCAATATCCCTGCCTGACTTATTGTATTTCCTTTAAAGCAGTCACCCAAAGAAAATTCATGAAAAATGGATGAAAAGATTTTCTCTTGAAAAACATGAATAATTTGCTGAAAAATCATATACATGTAGATATCATGGAAAGACGTAAATTGCAATTTGTGGCTAGCTGTGTCTTGCATGTGACGTCCCGAATCTTAACGCTCTACAGAGGACCGCTGAAGGCAGAAAATCTGGATCTCAAAATTAACATTTTTGAGAGATGATTACCGCGGGCCCCAAACATATTTTGAAGAGGAAAGTTGTTATATTTGATCAGTAAGGCTTCCCCTTTGCAATGATATGAAATTTGCATCAACTCAAAACTATGTCCACTTTATGTCCCTTTTGCAGGCCAAAAAAAAATGAAAAGGTTAAATTCCAGTGGCATTTGAAAGATAATACTAATTTAGAACTCCCCTTACAAAAATGGGGCTTGGAAATGTCCTAAAGTGGGAAAATAACGACTTTTAGTTGTCAAATTGACTTAGGAGCTATAGAGCCAATAAGTAATAAGTCCTGATTTTCAGACCATTGTTCCGCATGGTTGTACGTTTTATCCTGTTGTTTCATTATCCTGTGTTCTCATTCTCATCTACTATTTTCTTTTCAATTTGATCAGGTTTGCTTACAAGGAGGAGTATGAGAGGTTCAAGCTCTATCTCTCTATCATCATGCTGGTGGGAGCTACCATCAATACATTCTTCATCAAGAACAGGTATTAACATGTTAATTAACCCATGCTTTGACTTGATTGTACTGGTACCCCAGCTATAGGGCTGTGGGGGTATATTCATATTTACTGATCTGAATATTTCTTGTTACAGCTGTTGCTAAAGATTAATTATAACACTTCCTTTCTCTCATGTTTTACAGACAGATTCTGTCATGAAGATAAATTAACCATTAATGAACTAATCAGTATGTTAAATTTTCCAAATTCTTGCTAACCTTAACTAATTTCAAGAAAAACAATAACTTTTGTCTTTAACTTTGAGTTCAGTGGTTGTGAGTGACTGTCAAAGCCAACTAGAAAGGGGAGAAAAATAAAGAGAGGAGAATAAGAAAGGATTCTATCATGGAATACTGTATTATAAACATATATTTTAGAAAAAGAATAAAATTTGTTTGAATAAACATTTTGATTCTGAGTGAGAAACAAAAATCTCACTCTTTGTGGTGCTGTTCAGGGAACCTTGGACAATTATTCTGTATATTCATGTAAGTCTACTATGAAAAAGGAAATAGAATGGAAGATGATTAGTTGGAGAGGATAAAGGTGACTTTGATGTAATACATACCTGCACATATACTTTCCCTAGAGAAGGTGGGGTTACTGGGGTAGTGAGAATTATCTGTGTAGATATATTTGTTTTCAACCAAAATATATCCCTGATTGAATCACAGTGAAGATATGAGCCAAGCTACACCTACATGGTAAGGGAAAACCTGGATTCTTTCACACAAATGAAATGCTACGTGTACATGTACAATTATGTTCACATTCATATTATTTATATGATTCAAAATTGTGTGATACATTGGGTTTTGTGAACATGGTTACATGAGTGTTCATTTGGTAGTTTCACTCCCACCCCCCCCCCCCCTCGTTTTTGTCATTTAATCAAATCAGAAAATTATCTCTGTATAGAGGGCATTAGGTGTATACCACTTCACTGTATGTAATAGGTATAATATAATGTAGATATATTCCTACAATCATTTTGTACATACATGTACATGTATATATGTCATTGCATTTTTTAAATGTAATGACATATTATGTAATGTATTCTGTGCAGTTGGTAGTGTATGTATGTGTGTGTCGGGGGCAGTTATTCAGTGTTTTGATCAAGACAATGTATATCATTATGTTTCATTGTTTATTGTGCTATCGATCGAACATTGAAAGCAAGGGGAGGCTTTGTATATATGAAATATTTCCAAGTGCCAACCTTTCATGTACAGTAAGCATTAATAATCATCATGTTGCATTCTTGTACAGCTTTTTATTTCCAGCCTTACATTAGTACTGTGTCTCATTCATCATCTATCTAATATGTAACAAAATAACCCTCATTCCTCCATGGATCTTAACTCTCATCTTTACCACTCCATCCATTGCCCAGTCCTATGAACAGTCCTAATCGCTTGGGCAGGTAAGCAGAGATTGTGAACCATCAAAAATATTGTACAGTGAAACCTGTACGCAAAGATCACTCTTGAGGGACACAATACTCTTGGGTAGTGTTTCACGAAACAGTCTTAAGTACAAGTTCTTAGACAAGTCATTGAAACTTGTGTATTAAATTTAGTAAGTGTTTCAATGGGATGTCGGTGAACTTGGACGGTTTCTTGAAACAATGCCCTGGGCCCCGTCGCACAAAACTTACCATTTATGGTATTTTCCATCAATGGTAACTACCATGGAAACCTTGATTTTGATTGGCTGTTGAGCCCTGTTACCATGGTAGTGCCATTGGTGGCAAAGTTACCATCAATGGTAAGTTTTGTGCAACAGGGCCCAGGTCTTTATATGCAGGTAGTCTCAACAGAAAGGTTCCTTTAGTACACGTTTTTGATGGGTAACATTGTGCAAGGGAAACCATAAAAAATGTGCTCTCTACAAATGGTTGGTATTTAAATATATACAGGTGGTTGCTTAATGAACAGGTTTCACTGTATAATTGCATAAATCATACGATGGTACCTGCATACAAGTATACGTGTAGCTAGTGCTTCCTTCCTGTTCGATATTAGTTCAAGGGGGTCTGGTGAACCGCTTCAAGGTCTTGTGATGCTGCATGTGATGTTTTTTGTCTGGTATTGTCATTAAATGTGGGGTTAACCAATTAACTAATTGTTTATGCAGGTCCCTCTTCTCTGCTAATGGGTATCTTGGCTAAATAAGATTTATATATGAGGGAATAAAGAGATAAATTGTGTGAATAATTTTCCTCCTGGAAAATAAAATGTTTCACTATATGAAACAGAATATTGTTTTTTGGGTAGTGTTTGTTTATATACAGTAGATGCTGTAGTAACCATGGATTTGTGTTATTTTGTCATTTATGTTTATGATTTGTTGGTATTTAACATGTACATATACTTATGACTAGTTCAACTTCAATGTTTGTTTGCTAGTCTACATGTACATGGATAAATTACTTATTTTGGGCAACAATGAGCATTTGATGCAAAATTTGACAAATTTGCAAAATGTACATGTACATTTGTGAGAAGGAAATCACTGAAATAAGGAATAATTAGTCTTGGGGATTGTGTGCCTGTAGACCATGTAGATCTATTAATCTTTTGATATGAATATGTGTGTCACAAGGGTGAAGAAGTTCTTGAAAGTTTTATATATCATAATTCTAAAGGTTGGGGGAACTATTCAAATATGAGCTGAACAGAGATTATAAGTGCATGATTAGAGGGATTTTGACCAAAATTTCAATGTGTTCTTGCATGCATTTTAGTTTTCTCTAGCAATGATTTTTCAGTTCTTCTGGATAAAAGTTGATTTATTATTGTACTTATTGAATGTGTATTATGATTGTGTTTAATATGTACCATGGGAATTTTAGAGAATTTTAAAAATTAAATAAAAAGACATGAGAAATAGTGTCAAGCTACCTACATGTAAGTCTTACTGTACTATAATTCACAAGGTGTAAAAATGATATTATTAAACGTTTGTGAATATATCAATACCGTAACCTTCTTACCTGTGTACATGTATGTGGGTAATTTAAAGGAAAATGAAACCCAACAAACGTTAGATTATAATCTCATTCTATATTGTCAGCCAGTTATGAAAATTTTAAAATGAATCCTATATGATTGGTACTTACAATTACAGTAGTACTTGGAAAACTATTTCTCCAAAGTTTGCAGTTTCCTTTCTAGCCATTCTCCCATTTGTCACCATCTTTATTGCAATTGTGATGACTAGTACATACCGTAATTAACGTTGTATTAACCACACTTTTTTGCCGCCGAAAAAAAAATTCAAAGTTGGGGGGGGGGGTGCGTCTTATACACAGGTACAAGAACAACAAAAAAAGTTTTGATTTATGCCCCTCCACCTGGCGCTATGCCTGGCAATGTCTCCCAGCTCAGTAATCGATGTGTTGACTCACCACTCGGAAACTAGAACAACACTCCAATTTGTCTGTCATCTTGGTTTGAAAGTAATCTTTCTGATAGATCTCAATATATAGTTTATAATAATAATTCCTCCAATTTTTCTTCTATTACACACGGCGTACCTTAAGATTCTATCCTAGGTCCTCTACTGTTTTTTACTTTACATTAATGATCTTACACATTCAACTGCACCTCACAGTTAAATGAAAGGCCTTCCCGCGTGGGTTTTTTAACATGGACCTGGCTTGCTGCCGACAGACTCGGCAAAAAAAAAGGGAAAAAAGGAGGGGTGCGGTTAATACACAAGGGCGGTTTATACAACGTTAATTACGGTATCCATTGACCTGCTTAGGACGGTGTTGCACAATGAATAAGATGATTGGCTGATGTTTGCTGGGTTTCATTCTCCTTTAAATGTTTTTTTTATGTCACCTTGTGTGCCTTATTGGTTTATCCTGCTGTAGATAGATCTCAGTATTTACTATATATACATTCAAAATTTCAGTCATACGTCTGTGTCTTATGGTTTATTACAGTGTTTAGTTTTATCATGTTGTATACAGTAGTAGGTACTTCAAATATAGGACAGAGTTCAGTTAACATATAAACTTGACTACATGTTGGGAATGTCTAGACTAGGGATTTAGTTGGTGTAAAATGGAAGGATATAGGCATGATGAGATTTATCAGTTTACTGCATGGAATTATGATTTTGTCTTTTGTCTTGGCTGGCCTGGTTACTCTTATTAGTATTGGGGCGTTTCTTATTGACATTGTCAAGGTTTTTTTGTTGTTGCTGAATCACAATGGTGGAAAACTGTGACCTTCAAATCCATTGTATAGTCAATGTCCTTCTCGTTCTCCACATAATGATGATCAGAGACTCCTGGGACCCGTTTCACACAGCCTTTTTTTAAACGACAAATGACAAAAATCAGTGACAAATCCGCTGATAACCAACGGAAGCAAAGATTTCACTAGCTTACCGGTATAACAAAAACTGTCATTTGTCACTGATGACAAGTTGGGGCCCAGGGCTATAAATGGTAGAAGTTTCTAAGAAGGACTTCCTTTTCAAAAGCAATTTGATATTATACATTTACTCTTTGTGTTTGATATCGGTTGCATGATTTGCAAATAAATAAGAAATAGATGAGACAACACAACAAAACAGAATTGAAAAGGAAAGATGTTTGTCATCAGTATGAACATTGAACTACCATTTCCTTGGAACTTTGTTTCCCGTACAATTTTGTTATCTATGCAAAGGTAATATAGACTTGCAGATGGTATATAATATGGAAGTCCTCACGTGTTGTGGGTTTCTTTGAACAGCAATGTAACACAATACTAGAGTACCGGTAGTCCTTATTGTCTTAAAGGTATAGACCAGTTTTGGAAATGCCCCCCTCTCAAAAAAATGATATGGAAACTGTTATTACCAATCTTGTGAAAGAATATGTTTTGACTAATACGTGATGATACTAATTTTACCGGAAAACCGCCTACTAATTGATATATTTGGTAAATTAGCTTATTAATCCGGCCTGGAAAGATATCGCAAATGCACTGCAACTTTGAACATTTGGGCATATGTTTCTGCTTTTTTGCTAATTTAGATTGAAGTATTGCCATCTACATGTAAACCTCTGAAGGCAATATTTATACAATATTGAATGGATATTTTGCGCCCAAATCTCTTTAACCGCAATTTTACCACTACCGGTCTATATCTTTAAGATACAAATGAAACGTGGGCTACAGTTTCCTCTAAATAGAGGATAGTCAAATTGAAAGTTTATTACCAGTATAGACTTTGGCAGCCCCATCAAAGGACACTACGTGTATTAAGTCTTATGACTTTCCTTCAATGTTGAGCCTATTATTCCAAGTGTACACGTACTCTACATTTAAATGGAGTAAATTTAAGTCAAGATCTTACATGAGACTTTGGCTTGCCCTGTCCCCATCCATCTGTTTGTATGTATACTAAATCTTTTTTTTTAATTACTCTTTCAGGATCTGTGATGCCTGCTATCACTTTCTCCTGGTCTGGTTCTACTGTACGCTGGTCATCAGGGAATCTATTCTCAGACACAATGGATCAAGGTAAGATTAGCTTCGACATGCACTGGTAATAGGCGCGTCCTCATCATCTCGAGATTGCCAAATAGCCCGCTATTTCAGATTTGGGAAATAATCCCAAGATGTCTTGGGACAATCCCAACCAAATATTCCTCTAATTGCAACTTCGGGCTGATGAAGATGCAAATGATCTGGATAGTTTGTGATCGGGATAGTTCAAATAGCGGGATATTTGGCAATCTCAAGCTAGTGAAGACAGGCCTATAGGGTACTTGGCAGGAAATGTTAATGCTTAGACCTAATGAAGTGAGAAGGCCTTCCATCCGTGAAGGAATTGGTCGGGAGGACCAAAGTATTTTAGCAATGTGAAAGTGTGCATTAACAATCTATTACACTTGTTGGTACCCTAGTGAGGGTGAGTTTACATAGTAATTTTCTGCTGAAATCTCTCACACTGAAGTATGTTATGCACTGGCATGAACCTTGTGTATTAGGCATTGTGAAGCCATCTTGCTGGATCAAACATTGCAATACATACATGCAAATAAATGCATATTATTCTGTTTTTTTTTTCTTCTTTTATATATTTTTTCTGGATGGGAGGGGGGGGGGGGGGGGGGGGGGACAGAGATAGGGTCTTTGCCGGGGTTCAACATTGAGATCATTTTACTGTCACCCATGTTTTTACAAATGCGCATATTCATTCACCACAGTCCCATTTATATTATTTCATGTTTATATTGGTGTATGTTTGGAACTAGCTTTATCTATACTACACATATGTTTATATTTCAGAATAAAAGGCTGGTGGGTAGTTCATCATTACCTGACTGTTATGTTGACAGCAATCCTGTTGATTTGGCCAGACAGTGTCAGCTATCGCATGTTCAGAAATCAGTTCATGCTCTTCTCTCTCTACCTCAGTAAGTACATAATCCTTCAAAATATGTGTATAACAATAACAATACTCTGCTTTTATATTGCGCGAATTACAATTAAGTTTCTAAGCACTTCCAAAGTAGGAGATTATTACCCCGACTTTAGCTGTGCTGCCATTACGGCGCTCTAGCATTTCGAGGAATTAATTCCTGCCAGGTACCCATTTACATCACCTGGGTTGATTGTGGCAAATGTAGATCAATGTCTTGCCACAGGATGTTAGTGCCGCAGCGGGACTCGAACCGTGGACGTTGTGATCCGACAGTCATAGGACGTAACCACTCGCCCACGACACCTGTATGAATAGAATTGAAGTTTTTTGGGGGTGGGGAAGGGGGAGCTGATGTGTAGCATTCAATTGCCAGCTTGAAACAATAAGAACAGATCTTTTGGTACAATGATTCATTGAATTTGCAATTTTGCATAGATCAGTTACTGTAGTTCATGATACCTTTCCTCATCTATAACTTTTCTGAATGGGAAAACAATCAAACAAACAGAGCATTTCAATATTGAATTTTGGGGAATGTTTTGTATTGCCTGAAATATCAGACCGGTAAAATAAATCAACATGTTCTCACTTTTAGGAATCTTAGCCAAGTCTTTGGCGTGTCTTTCCCGCAGCATTTGAACAAAGGAATGCATCCCTGTTGTCTTTTTGTTACTTTTGAAGCAAATAAGGGTGCATCCATGTTTTTGATAAGGAGCTCCAGGATATGGTAAAGAAAATTGATCTCTTGATATGAAGAAGACTCATATACAGTGAAACCTGTCTGTAAAGACCACACAAGGGAGACAAGAAAAGTGGTCTTTATTGGCAGGTGGTCTTTATGTACAGGCTCCTTTAGTACAGGCTTCAATGCGAAACCATTTTTAAGGGAAACAAAAAAAGAGGACTTTATAGGCAGGTGGTCTTCATGTACAGGTTCCTTTAGTACATGTTTCAATGAGAAACCATTTTCAAGGGAAACAAAAAATGTGGTCTTTGTAGACAGGTGGTCTTTCTATACAGGTGATCACTATAGCAGGTTTTTACACATAAACATGACTGTAGGATGAGAAGTCTGATTTTACCATGATTTAATCTTTATACATCCGTTTTCCTTGTCTGTAGGTGTGGTTCAATTGATCCAGTATTACTACCAAAGTGGATGTCTATATAGATTAAGAGCTCTAGGGGAGAAAAGTGACATGTACATCACTGTAGGTAAGTATTATAGACTTGTCTTTTGTTTTACATCAAAAGCTAATTACAATAATTAGTAGTTAGATCAATTAGCATTGCAGCTACTATATAAATACTCTACTGTGCTGTGATGAAAACGAAACTCCTGACATTGCTACTTTACAAACACACAATTTATTTTTTTGAATTACAAATAGTTAAGAAACTATTCAAAAGCTCCTGAAAACAAGTGCGTTTCCAACAAAACTTTGAAGACAGCAACAGATGAGGGTTTTCTTAAGTCTATCGGTAGGTTATTCAAAAGCTTTGGAGCGATGCAACTGAAAGCACAATCTCCAATCGTTACTTTTGATTTTGAGTGAGGTAGCTTTAGAAGCAGCTTGTCCTTTGTACTTCGCAAGTTATGTGCATGTAGATGCGATTTACAAGATTTACATAAATGTCTGTCCTAACTTTGGATGAAGTTTAAAGCCATACTGTAGGATGAGCACTACCTCAAAATCCCCTAAAGCAAAAGCGCCATCTCGGGTCAGCTGTAGCAGTATGGTCGCGTAACTCGCTGTTTCTCCAACTGCGCTGTTGGTTTTTCCATCTGTCCGCTATTAAATAAAGCAGAAATTTGGTATTTGGTTAGCACTATTGGCAAGTTAACCATAAGATGGCGCTGTGTAATACACAGTACGCTAAGACAGGAAGGTTATCTGTTCAGTATTGCTTTAAAACCCCACTAAGTCAACAATAAGTCACCATATGTAAGAGCATATAATGTGTTTGAATTTGTTTGAATTCATGATTACTTTGCCTAGGCCTTTGAATTGTGAAAAGTTTTAGCAATTTCCTTCTTAATTACTTATGAGACAAGACTACTAGCTAATTCTGAAGAACAGAACAAAAAACAAACAAAAAAAAACAAACAAAAAAAATCAAATTTGCTGAAGTACAATGTGTGTAGATCTAGATACTTTTCAGATCATTTACACAGAGATATTCCTTGGTGGCTATGAAGCAAATGATTAGCAATAGCTTTTGCATTTTCCACTTACTTTTTCTTCTCCTTTCTCTTTCCTTTACAGAGGGTTTCCAGAATTGGATGTGGAGGGGGTTAACATTCTTGCTACCATTTCTTTTTGTAGCATACGTAAGTACATATATCTATATGCATCCCCCTTTTGTTTATTATGAATTACTTTATTTTATATAAATTGGCACTGCCCTTGTCATATATTTTTATCATTTGATGAGCATTTACCAAACTAAGTTGTTGCATCACTCAAAAAAACTCATACCACAATTTTGTTAATGAAATCTTTGTACATTTATTTGGATGAAGGTGTTAAGTCATATGTTATTATTAGAATTTTCTTGTAACAATAGTCTTTAATGTTTCTTTAATGACACTTTCATATTTCATTCTTATTTTTGATTTTTGTTTTGTGTTTTTGTCTCCTACAGACTTGGCAACTGTACAATGCATACTCACTGTATCACATTGCTAAACATCCTGAATGCAATGAATGGATGGTAAGAATACTAAGAAGATGATGGTGATGATGGTGATGATGATGATGATGATGATGATGATGATGATGATGATGGTGATGATGATAATGGTGATGATGATGATGGTGGTGATGATGATAATGGTGATGATGATGATGATGGTGGTGGTGATGATGATGATGATGATGATAATGGTGATGATGATGATGATGATGATAATGGTGATGATGATGATGATGATGATGATGAAGAAGAAGATGATGATGATGATGATGATGCAAATATCATTAGCAGCAGTATTATTACAGTCCTGAGGAAGTGCGTAACATGTGTCATTGACAACAACAACATTCTGCATTACTTTCATAGTTTCATAAATTACCTTTGATCTTCATTATTGTTTCTACAAATTAGCATCTTATACTGCTTTTAAACTGGCTTCTATCGGAGTCACACCGATGAAAATACCGATTGAATTTTCCTTATGTAAACAAAGGTGAAACCGCCGTTTTCCCCCTGTCGCTTTCACAGTGGCTGTTTCATCGGTGTCACACCGATAGAATGAGAATTTCTCCTGCTCTTGAGCAGGAGAATTTAATCGCCTATTTCTCTTCTTTACATCAGCTATTTAATCGCCTTTTTCTCCTCTGTAGCATTCATACTGGCCGTTTCATCGGATGCGTCCGGATGCATCCGATGAAAATCAGGCCAGTTAGAAAGGGGTATTACCTATAACACAAAACCCAGGTAGCTGAAATTCCATACAATAAAGCAGGCTCAAACACAAACAGGCACGTACATATAAAAGCTCAGGCATTGACAAGAGTATACAAAAGTTCTCTCTCTAAAGAAAACTTGATCACTATAACGTCAAACAAATGATTCGTAATATCTCTCTCATAACATATACGGGTAATAGGGTTTCAAGGTCCTTATCTGAGTGTGCGACTTTCAAGGTTGATTTTCCATCTAATTTTTAATATCTAGGTGCCTGTTGCGAGTGTGATTTTCCTCTGCCTCTTCCTGGGAAACATGATCACGACATCTGGCGTCATTCTCACCAAATTCAAGGCCATGCAGTCGACCAGCTCAAGCCCCAAGAACAAAGGATCATGATGCAAGTCTCGGGCAGAGATCACCTGGGGTCTTTTTATTTGCTTGTCGAGTTATTGCTATCCATTTGCAGGTACCCAACATATGTAAGCGCAAACAAATGAGCTTAATTTTAAGTGTGACAAGTTCTTACTATGTTTGAAGCTGAGAAACTGTTCTGAGATAAAATGTTGAAGGTTTTGCCAACTGATTTTACCAGGTCCCACAAAACAGATCATTAAGAGTAAAATGAGTTGGCTTTTCAAATGAAAGCAGGTTGTACCGATTGTTGAGCAAGAATATACATTGAGCTAATATTTGAAAGTGTTGCCAACTTTTAGCATATGAAAAATAATAATAATTAAGTAAATAAATGAATAAATAAAAATAACAAAAGGAAAAAAAAAAAAAAATTTAAAGTGAAAATATATCCAGCCAAGTTGAAGCCAAGGAACTTAATTGACCTATAAAACTTTAAAGAAAAAAAAAACAGTAGAAAACACAAAAAACTGAAAAAAATTGAAGAAAAATGCTTGAAACAACTGCACTTTATTTTCACAGGGTTCATTTCTTAAATGCCGACTGTACTAGTTTGGCCGGGAGGGATTAGACCACACAGCGGGGTCAATGACAGGTGGCTATCTCATCAACTCAGCTCTCAATTAACATAAGAAAAAGAGGATTATGGGGGACCAATGGTCACCGATTAGGCATTGTTTTCTATATAGAGGTAGCAAGTAAGATGAAATACATGTATTAGGAGAGTGAATTGTCCTTTAACCTTTTTAAATGTAATTCCAGATGCAACATCAAATTTATATGTTGTTTTTCATTTGTACAGTAATTATGACATTATTCTCTAAAATTAACACACATGATATTAAGATGTTTATATTAAAGGTACCAGGGTTTTATTTTATTATATTGTATTCAGAAACTTGGTGGGAAGTTTTAACAGAAAGTGCAAATTTATTTTATCTCATTGTTTATGTTAAGTGACGAGAACCCATGTGAAGAATAGCATCATGACCAATTGATATGATTTTGTCCGTTTGGAGCCAGAAGGGCGATAACGCTGTAAAGTATATGAGTTAATGCCCTTCTGGCTACAAAAAAATTATGGAATTATACTTCATGGAATTATCAAACAGGATCTGATAAAAATGATTTTAGAGCTTGAGATAGTTCTCCTGTGGGTTGAGGAATTTAAGTTCAATGTTTGTTTCCTTTATTAATTTTTTTTTCCAGTTTTTTTTCTCCCTTCAAGTAACATATTATTACGCATTTTCATCATTGCCGGTAACAAAAATTTGCTCTTACCAAGCAAAATTGTAGACATTGCCTTAAACCAGTATTAAGGTTAGGTTTGTTGTATGAAGCAAAGTTCTCTGGAAATTTGCTGAGGATTTGTTGAGATAAGTGTTGATATTTGTATTCAGACCCGTTAACATTATGGAGAGCTGGGTCCTGTCTTACAAAGAGTTGATATCAATCGCAACTTATTTGCGATTGATATCAATCCCAGCTATGTACATAAGGGATAGAAGACTGCAAACATGGGATTGATTGGAGGACTTGCAATTGATTTGGATCAATCGAAACTCTTTGTAAGACGGGGACCTGGACTGTATAATGCTAGTATTTCTTGCTGGAGGTACTTCAGGATCTTCATGTATTTTACTCTGGTAGTGATTGACAGTTACTCCAGATTGTCCTTTCTCTATCTAGAGGGGGCAGGGAGGGGGGGGGTATTAATATTGACTGGAACTTTGAAAGCTGACATTGATATTTTGCAGCTGTCAAACTTTTATCTAATAATAAGTCAAACAAAGTGTAAGATATATGGCCCCTTCTATCAAACGATAAGCAGTGCCTGGCAGTACTTGTAGTTATCAAGCAAAAATCCTGAGTAGATCACAAACCAATCATAGTGATGTGCTTATGCTCTTTGAGAAATTCATGATTTTCAAAAGCATCAAGGAGAGCAGTAACCAAAAACCTAGAGTAAGTAGTGCCTTTCGGTTGTATTTGTAATGTATTTATGGACAAATGCTTGCAGTTGGTGTACAAAGTCATTGTGTGAAGGTGATTTGGGTCCGAACAAAGTATCAAACCAGATCAATACAAATTTCTGATAATGTAATGTTTTAAATCCATTATGGCTGTGATACTGGCATTTTTGTGAAATAAGTCACTGCTCACTCACTTTGTGCATAGCGGTTTACTGCATTCGATGGGAGATATCACCTCCACATAGATTTTACACACAGGTTTTTGTGTACACATTCGATGACCAGTTGCTTATTTCAAAGCCATAATATTTGTTTAAAAGTGATTGTTCTGCAGATAAAAAAAAAAGGGTTTGCATTAGGCTTAATTGATGTTTCAAGTTTGAATGATCCGAATTTGATGTGTTTAATGAATGTTCCTAGGTGTACATTTAATTACATGATTCCTTTAACTTGTTGGATACGATTCGATGTTGGTATAACACACGTTTCTCATAGACTCCACCCGGAGTTATCTCTGCATTAGTATTCAACAGATTAAAGGAACGTGTAATAAAGAAACATTTTCAGCAGCTTACATTCCTAATTTTTATGTAGGTCATCCAGAATTATGTGGTTTTTATTCAGGGATATATGGTGCAGAATTGAAATATTTGTAATGTGGCATTTTTTGAAAAAAAAATGATTTAGAAAATGTTACTGAAGAAATCTTGCCCCCACCATTGTTTTATGTAAACTTCAGATCTGCACAAAATTATTATGACAGTTTATATTTGTATCGTAGACAGATTAGCAAAAGGAATTAAAAAAACGACAAGAATTTTCATAAATTTGCAGTTATCTTATCAGAGCACATGGAATGCACAGTTGCTGCACAGGTCTTGATCAGATCTTGTACTTGTTCTTTTTATTGGATTTTGTTTTTAAAAAAAGAATCTATCCTGAGCGGTTTTAATATGTGAATAAAAATTTGTTTGTATCCAGTTTCTATTCATTTTGTTATATGGTAATTATCATTATGGAATATATTTTGAAGTATAATTGTGGATATATGTTATTTTTACATGCAGATCATGTTTTCTTACAACTTTGATTTTTGATTTTTTTTTTTTTTTTTTGAGGGGAGGGGGAGTGGGTGATATTTAAACAAATGCCATAGATGTCTTGTGAGTCCGTTTTGAAAATCATATATCTATGTAAATAAAAATATTTATAGATAATGAAAGATGTGCGTGAAAATATAACATTAAAATAATTAATAAATTGAAGTTAAAAACGCATGTTTTATGTTTTTATTATATTGAGATGATGGCTTTTATGAGAGCGAGTGTCAAAATAATGAAAGTTATGGAGTTGAACAAAGCAGCAGAGAGATGGGAGGGAGAAAAGAGGATGCGATAGAGAGAGAGAGAGGATGCGATAGAGAGAGAGAGAGAGAGGATGCAAGAGAGAGAGACAGAGAGAAAAGAGGAAGCAAGAGATTAAGGGGCAGATAGGCCAAAGAAACAGTTGCTACTTCGTATACCCCAATGCAATTACTAAAATCTCCTGCACAAAATAAAAAATGACTCAGAAGCACTCCATTTTCTCAGCTTTTTATATTAATAATTTTTATTTAATACATGTATATTCATCATGTTTATATTCTTTATTTTTTATACACTACATCAACATGTTAGGATTTTCTTCTTAATAAACACACTCCATAAAAAGAGGAAAACTTGCAGAGTTTCCATCAAAATTTAAAGCTACCGAGGGGGGAGGGGGGGGGGGTCCATATTTTCCATCAAATTTCTCACAAAAAGGAAAGAGTATAAATTGGGAATTACATTTGACTCCAAATCTATCAGGTCAAAACCAAGGAACCACTTAGACTCTACCCATTTGAAGTTTAATACACGAACAGGGAACATAAAATTAAATAAGTGTCACATTTATTAGAATATACAAAGTGGAATTAGTCAGTACTACTTTGTGAATATTTGAAAAGTTCACATTAGAAATTATGGTGCAATGATGCAATAATAAAACCTCAAGTTGTTTCTAATCGATGTACAGTGTATGTGTGGTGATTGTCATCAGATTTTTTTTTAATGGCCTGAAGCATTCAAATTTATAAGGTCATGAACTCACTCTCATGCATTCGTATACTAACAAAATCTACCAGTGGAAAAACTCCAATGATTGCTGATTAGGTCAACAGACTTTACCTCCGATACTGAACAATTCCGCTACTTGCGCGAGCACTTCCTACGATACCTAACCCACATTTGCGCTTGTGGAGAGTTCTTACATCTATCAGTAATGAATGTAGAAACCGTTTACCCAAGATTACTGTTTCTAACCAAATATTTAATCGGTAGAATAACGACAAGTCCTGAGGTTTATTTATACATTTAAATCACACACAGTAAAAAAGCTAGAAGAAATTTCACTCAGAATGATGGGTATGAAGCATACACGTGGAGGGCCCTATGTTTCGACTCCTCTCGTGTGATTCCCATGCTTTATAATAGAGGTTACATCTATAATTTGATATGGTCAATAAAATAGTTGACCTTTTCATCAATTTGACTTAGCCACTCTCCACACGGGTGTAGTAAATGGTACTATCCGGTAGGAATTTATTCCTTGAATGCTTGGAGTGCCTAAGGGCAGCTGGGCTATAGCCAGAGTAAAATTATCTTTTGTAGACGCCTTGAGCATCCCCCGGGAGGGATATGTGTGCAATATAAATGTAGCTACCAGTATTATTATAAGAATGCAAGGAAAAACATTGCTGAAAGTTTGAAGGAAAATGGCCAATGATTCAGTAACGAAAAACAAAATGTTCTTTTTCGATGTACATGTAAATGATAAGTGGTTTATTCCTACTGCAGTAAAATTATCTCTGAATTGATACAAATCATATTTGAGGAGAATTTTAAGGGGAAACCTTATCAATGTAATCTTGCTTTTAATCACATTTTAGACTGACCTTTCAACAAACATTCTCAAAGTTTAAACTGCACCTTCGATGTACTTCCAGCTAATTTCTAGTGAAACAGTAGCGTGAAAAATATTATTTTTTCGCACACACGGTTAGCTTGTGATACAATCTGCGTCAGAACATAGCGGTGTCGGGACATGCCTGTGTTGGTACTTAGCAGTACCGCTGAGGCATTTTCAAAAGAAAATAAGTAATATGTCTTTCACACAAACATGACAGAAGGCTATGAAACACAAATGTATTGCTGAAATGAAAATTTTACAGAGCTGGCATAGAAAAAGAGATGTAAACAATAGAGAGTGTGATTCTTTGAATAGTATTTTTACAATTTAAATCATACTGTATAGACTGTGTTGAAAAAAAATTTAGAACTGTAAATCAAATGACAGCACAATTCAGTAGGTATTGAGACAAACATATTTTATTCAAAATTTGGAACTTCACCACAGAGTGATGTACTGTTTAATATCTGATCAATACATTAATTTTTTTGACCAACTATTTCTCTAGATACACTTGAATTTACCTTTATCTCATAAGGAAATTTCAATCCCCTTTTGTACTTCACAAATACAACTTGCAGCTACATGTATCGATACAAATACAAATTGCACACTAATATAAATCATTAGTCTTATCTAGAATCCATCATTAAAGCTATAAAGAATATTCTGGGAACAAGATTTCAGAAATTTGCCCTCTGATAAATATTTTATATGCTATGAGAAAATCCAGAAAGAGAGATAGAGAGAGAGAGAGAGAGAGAGAGATAAAGAGACAGAGGAAAACATGAAAGTATACTATAAAGCATAAATATGCTGCAAAAGAGTGTATGAATATAGGCAGCACAAAATTTTATTTTTGAAGCATACATATAAGTGGAATAGTATTTGACATAAATATGCTAGCATACAGGGAAAAGTATCAAATTATTCATAAGCAACATATTTTGCCTTCATCACCCACATAAGATGTCACTATGCAACTGAGAGAGATAGAGAGAAAGAGAGAGATGGGTTCTAGTTATAGATAAAAACAGACATTGACAAATAGAGAAATAAACACACAAATACAGTCAGGAGTGAGATAAACAGAGTAAAATAGAGAGATGGAAGTTCGATGACACAGAGCATAGGGGAACAAGAGAGAGAATGAGAAAGAGAGAGAGAGAGAGAGAGGGAGAGAGAGAGAGAGAGAGAGAGAGAGAGAGAGAGAAACAACATGCAGGCAGATCACGCTGTTTTCTCACACACTATTTATTCATACTTTGAGTATACCTGTGGCAACATACACATGTACATCTCTCTTTCTTTCTCTCTCTTTCTCTGTAGTAAGCCATAAGCTTTTCCGATTCATTTCCACCCACAATAACAAAGCCGTTGCTATCTTACTCCAACTATTGCCATAACCAAAAAGAACAAATAATAATGAATATGCGAGCTAGGGAATTTTATGATCCAGACTTGTACATTTCTTGAAACTGAGTTACAGAATCAATATACTAATTTTAAATATAACAACATTCAAAGGGGTGCGAGAATAGATAATACAGCAAAAAATGGATTGTACTATAGATTGTGTCACAAATTGATATTACAAAATGGAATTGCAATAGTAAATAGAAATAGTTTCATATATGTCAATGGGGCAGAATTCAATATGAATACTTATGTTGGGATATTAGAGATAAGACTTAAAACACTGCAAGGGAATTATACCTATATCAAAAAGATCGGGACAAACATCATACTTCAACCTTCCACTACATAACAGATAATTAACTATCTATAAACTTCTAAAACTCCCTGTGCATGGCTATGCCAAAAGTTATACAGGGAAGTTACATCTTATAGAAGAGATAATGATTTGGTGTCGTTAGTTTTTTTTTTTCTTCATCGTACAGTCGATACTCACCGAGCTTTGCGAAAAAGTACGCGCCTAAAACGGCTGCCCGGTAAGCATCTCCATGTTCACACAGACAAACAAACATTATCATATATAATCTTTCGTTTATTTCAGATTAATCAAAGTTAATCTCTCACACCGAAGGAAGGATAAAAGTGGAACGACCCTCATATCGAGACCGTCCGTCGGAAAGTTTTTCGTCATATACATCCCCTACCTCCTTAGGAGTAACTCACAAATCCAAAGCTGCTTCTATCCACATCCAGATAATATAATCACATAAGTTCACATCGTAGAGTCTCTGAGAAAAATCTCCATACGAACATTAACAATCTTCATATCTTTATACTCCTTCTAAATCCAATACACCTTTAGCATAACCTTTACTCTTAACAGTTGTACTCCAATGATATAAGCTCTCCATCTAATTGTTCTAATATATTCCTTTTATTCTGAGTGCAATGCTCATAATCATCTCACAAGTTTTCATAAATATGCCTCTCAAAGAATGTGGATTCCATGTTGCTGTCAAAAAGCTAGAATTCTGATCCTCCTTTGCAAAGATCCCCTGGACCGCACCATCCACTGCTCGAGACGCTCAAGTAGTTTTCTGCCGCTACACAAAAAAGGAGAACCACGCATCTCTGCAGCTGAAAATCCACTGGTCGTTTTGTGAACGGGAAGAAAAATACGCAGACGGAGACAAAAGGAGAGACTTTCGTCGGAGTTCACATCAAAATATATCAGGGCAAATGTTCCATTCCTGCTTGTCCTTATTATTCCAGTACTCCCCTCTATATTGATACGCCATGGATTTTGTGAGCTGGTCCATTCGTCGCTCGAACCACACTGGCCGGTAGCCTTCAAACGGTTTACCTGGGAATGAGGTGAATGGAGGTGGAAAGAATGAGAGTTAACACTGGAGATCAAATAGGGTCAAAATATGCTTTTAGTAAAATAGGATGACATTTAAGCCCCACTGCACTACTTATAGCTACTTGCGCCCTCTTTATAGCAAATATTGCCTAATTGGTGACCTTTGGTCCCCCACGATCCTCTTTTTCTTATCTTAATTGAGAGCTGATTTGATGAGATAACCACCTGTCAGTGACAATGCAGTCTAATCCCTCCTGGTCAAATTAGTGCAGTGGGGCTTTAAGGATACAGAATTGTTTATCATCTTGAGTTTGCATCTACCTGATGTTCTCTAAACCAAACAAGTATGTGTGGTAATCTATGCAGTATAACAAGAAAGAGACACTACTACAAATAATCTTCAGAGTCGTGATAGAATCAACTTAAATTTTTGTCCATCTTAAATGACATTTTTTAATTTGGAAAGGTCAGCAGAGAGAGAAAACAGGTTGAAAGAGAAACCTCACTGGGTTAAGATTTAAACTGATCTTCCCACCCCTCAGTCAAAAAAAAGAGAAAATACTAATAATAATCTTTACAAGTCAAGTCTGAATACGAAAAGGTCTGATATAAATCGAGCAGTGTCAAAGGTCAATGTCTTGCACTTGATATAAATACAGTCAAACCTGCTTTAGTGACCACCTGTATACAAAGACCACATTTTTTGTTTCCCTTGAAAATGGTTTCTCATTGAAACATGTACCAAAGGAACCTGTACATAAAGACCACCTGCCTATAAAGACTACTTTTCTTGTCTCCCTTGGGTGGTCGTTATAGACAGGTTTCACTGTACTAAATATTAAACTACAGTACTCCTTCTCTTTATTAAAACTCAGTACATGATAAACATAAGGGTCAACCTAACAGGTTCAAAATCGATCTGGATTCACAGTTCAAGTTGATCTGTACAAAAAGTCAAAAATTCAATGTTCAAAGGTGACCTGTACAAAGAGTCAAAGGTCACATGTCAAGGGTGAGCCATAAGGAGTCAAAGGTCACAGTTCAATGTAACAGTTATTTAATGATCCCGTACCTGCTTCTGCAGCAAGGGCTGCTTCCGATTCCCTCTTTTTTCTCTTCGACCTCTGCTTGTCCTCTAGCCTGAGTTTCTCCTGGTTGGCCTCGTCCCAGTATCCCGTCTCCATCAGCCGCTGGTCGGGTCGGTTCCTGCTGTCCGTGGGCGCCACGTGGTCCTCGGGCTCGTTCATCGTCACGGCCAGCTCGTTGAAGTTGTACATCAGCTCGCAGTTTGGCCTGTTTAGAGGGAGAGAGTTTTGATATAGGAATAAATGAATGGATTTGTACATACTCTTCAAGGCTCTATGCAAGAATGATAGGGCTTTGTTTTATAGCCTCTTGAAGAGCCAAGGGCCCCGTTTCACAAAACTTGTCATCAGTGACAAATGATAGTTTTCTGTTATAAACTACTGAAATCCTTGCTTCTGATGGGTTATCAGCAGATTTGTCACTGATATTTTTCATTTGTCATTTAAAAAATTGCTTTGTGAAATGTCCTAAAGGGCCCTGTTTTATAAAGATTTTCAACTGACCTGATTCCATTGCAAGTCCTCTAATTAATCGCAAATTTGCAGTCTCCTATCTCTCATGTACATAGTTTGAGTGATATCAGTTGCAAATAAGTTGTTACTAGCACAACTCTTTATAAGACGGGGCCCAGAAAATACATAAACATAAGGCAGCAAGAAAAGCATGTTAAACACGATGGAATCATCTTGCATAGGTTTTAGGGTCAGCTCACAAGTATCAAAGCAAATCCCCATCTCTAGATTCACTGTGTAAGACTGATAGGTATCTGTCAATTCTTTTCTCTCACAGCATCATTCAATATCAATCAATTTAAGAGTGATATATATATATATATATAAACAAATGCCAACTTTTGAGTTGCACTTTGGTAACACAATACAGCATAATCTGGCTTTCTAGTATCAACTTCAGCCCTTCTACCTGCAAATTGAATAATTCTTTATAGTTGGGCATTACCACGGGCCATACGGACACAATATTCATATCATTTATGCCTGTCAAGTCGATATGTGTTGACTTCTCAATCAACAAGTAAGAATATAAATGGTCCTTTTAAGGACTGTCCACATGGTTGTACCGCAAATTTACTCTCTAAGTCATCATCTCGCCATGAAAACCTGTACTTCCCAACAACATTCTATATGTGTTTCCATAAGAAAGACACATTATACGGCTAATATTATTTGTTTGCTTCTTTTATGTGGAAGGAACCACCCACTAAAAGACTCACTGACAGTGGGCATGAATGAAAGACCAGGGGGTGTTTCACTAAGATCCTAAGTTGAAATTATCTTAAAGTTGGACTTAGCAGTTATGGAAAGCCGATAGCATCTTTGAAAATATTTTGTAAAAAATATTTTAAAAGGCATAAAATGTTGATTCAAATCATTCATATTTTCTATTATCATGAGGATTTCATGCTCTTGATTAGGAATTTATGAAAAGTCTAAAATACTTGAAATTTTGCTTTTGAATATATTTTATTTTAAGGCTACACATAGCTCTCCATATTTTTAAAGTCCAAATTAGAGTTAAGTTCAACTTAGGATCTTTAAGAAACACAAGACCTTCCATGCTGAGTGACTTACATAGGTGGGGTCCTCTGCCAGAGTACTTTGGTTGCGCCGCAGTTATAGACCGGCTTGCCCCGGCCAGACTTATCTATCGTGATGTTCTGCACCTCCGCGTACTCCATCTTCTTATCCCATGTTCCTGATAACACGTATTTGGCTGTATTGTTGCTGTCCATGATTACACCAGTTACCTACGGGTACACAAGACAAAGGAAAAATGAAACGGTGAACATAGAATGAAAACTGAATATTATATAGAGACCAGGGGGATGGGGTCATCAAGGGAATATGTATAGATTTGGACAGCAAGCCTTACGTACGGGTTTCCTTTTCATATACCTGGGGAGTGTTTCACAAAGATCCTAAGTAGAACTTAACACCAAGTTGGACTTAAAAAGTATGGACAGCCATTGGAGCCTTAAAATGAAATATATTCAAAAGCAAAAAATGGAGTATTTTAGACTTTTCATCAATTCCACATCAAGAACATGAAATCTCCCATGATAATAGAAAATATGTATGATTCGAATCAACATTTTATGCCTTCTAAAAAAAAATTAGAAAATATTTTCAAGGATGCTAATGGCTTCCCATGAATTTTAAGTCCAACTTAGAGATAAGTTCAACTTAGGATCTTTGTGAAACACCCCCCTGTTCAAGTCTTATTCAGAGATTACACAGCAAAACTGCGGTGTTTTTAAACGTAATGATGTAAAGTGTAATACAAATTACATTTCTGTATCTTATAACACAGAGTGTGCAGTTAGCGTTTATTTACACGTTTTAAAAAAGACGCAGCAGCTCTTGCGACAGGTTACCAGGTCATATTTGAACAAGCCTTTAGACATGTTTATAACCCCAAAGACATTGTAATTCTTTCTTAATTAAAAATAATATTCTCTGTGTATTATTTCATCTCTCACTTTTGGACTATGGGTGGCTACGCTTCATGCCGTCACACTACACTATAATGACCTGTTCTACTTTGTATAGCCATTCTCTAAACGAGGTATGCCAGTGCGCTACACACACATTTTCTGTGACATGTGGTGTTTGCATTCAAATCGCAAAGAGCTAGATTGGGTTTGGGCGTCGCAGGAACACACCCCCTTTTTACTGCCAGCTGAGTTATAGATGCCGCCTATAGAATGGTCACATTTAAAGAATAGATGGACTAATAGGATGTAAATGGCTCACCTTCCTTGGAACATCTCTAGAAAAGTAGCTGGTTGGTTTGAAGTTTAGTCGACAGACATCTTTGGTTGTATGATTGAGAAGCTCGCATTCACCAGACTGCAAAAAGAGAAAGGGATAGAACAGATGAATTAAAAAATGACACTCAATTTCACTACTTCTAATGTCTTATAAGTATGTATAGTTCTCTCACCAGATTGCTTTTGCCAATTCTAGGACAACTACCTCTTGGGTTATCATGCCCGGACAGCTGGCTCCCAAAAAAACCATCCACCATGCAACTATCCCATAAGGAAATTACCCCAAGAAAACATACTCCTACTCTACTCCTAGAACAATTACCCCTCCTCCCCCCCCTCAAAAAACTAACCCTCTGAACAACTAGCCCCTACAAGCCCCTTTAACGATCACCCACATCCCCTAGGAAACCTACCCTTTGGTCTACAGTTTGCTATTAGATGCCAATAGGAAGGCCAATTTATAAGGGCAAATTGTCTGAGGTTCTGGGTTGATAGCCCAGGCATTATCATATAGCAGGTGTTGTTGACGATCCCTAGGCTTCAACTAGACGACCACCACCACCACCACCACCACCACCACCACCAGCACCACCAGCACCACCAGCACCACCACCACCACCACCACCACCACCACCACCACCACCACCACCACCACCACCACCACCACCACCACCACCACCACCACCACCACCACCACCACCACCACCACCACCACCACCACCACCACCACCACCACCACCACCACCACCACCACCACCACCACCACCACCACCACCACCACCACCACCACCACCACCACCACCACCACCACCACCACCACCACCACCACCACCACCACCACCACCATCATCACCATCATCACATCATCAATATCACCACCACCACCACCACCACCACCGCCGCCGCCACCACCACCGCCTCCGCCGCCGCCATCATCATCATCATCATCATCGCCATCATCATGACCACCATCACCCTCATTATCATCATCATCATCACCATCATCATCATCACCACTATCATCATCATCATCATCATCATCACCACCACCATCACTACCACCACCACCACCACCGCCACCTACATCACCACCACCATCAACAAATCTCTCACCTGGTCTACCCATAGTTTGCCTACGATGATGTTATAGACGGTGACAGTGACTCTGATATAGGTGTAGTGACATCATCATCAACATCATCACCACCACCACCATCATCACCACCACCACCACCATCACCAACAAATTTCTTACCTGGTCTACCCATAGTTTGCCTACGATGATGTTATGGACGGTGACAGTGACTCTTGTATAGGTGTAGTGACTGCCAGACTTCTTGAAGGTGATGTGGGCGGTGCCCTGAGGGAAGATCTGGAGGTACTTTCCGCGGAACTTGCTGCTGATGGTCGTCTCCATCCACAGAGTCCAGTCCTTGCTCTCGAAATGGAAGGCTGCTGCCGGCGGATGGTGACTCACCTTTAAAAATACAAGTTTTGGTTGGCACAGAGTGAGAAACTTAGTTTTCCATGGAGCAAATTTTAATTATATCAAAGAACATGATGACACAGACTTCCCAAGAAATCTGCTCTAAGGCATTTTGAACAGCCTCTCGTATCTCCAATTGAGAAATTAACAATGCAAGATGGTGAAACAAGGTTAGTCAGGCAATCCATTGAACATGTAGCCCCACATGTGCATTTATGTGAGTTTGTTTTTCAGTGCATTACAATCTTCTGCAAATTTGTCTTGATTTCATAATTTACATTTTACTTTCCTAAGAAGGGTCATGAAAATAAATTCCAAATGACAGTAAGTCTCTTTCGAACAGAAGTTTCACAACCAGAATATTAGAGAGGACTTTCGCATCACAATATTACATGACAAATCAATGATAAAATGACATCACAGTCAATTGTAAGGTCAGAGGTTAACATCTCACCTGTTCACTTATTGCTCTCCACCCTAAATCATCCATCCTGTCGCACTCAAACGTCTCTCCTAGGAGGGGATTGAATGGCTTGGTCGTGCGCACCGACGTCTCTGCGTACGCCGATGTGATGAAAGCGGCCACGTACGCCATCTCCTCACAGGTGTCGTCGCACTGGGCGGCCATACTGAGGAGGTCGCTGTAGAACATGTCCTCCGTCAGCCGCTGTAGCATGGATAGCGGCTCGTTAAAGTTGACCTAAGGTTAGAGAAAGATAATAATAATAATAATAGAAACGGTGCTTATAAAGCGCTTACCATCGAAGTCTCTAAGCCCTATAACAAACAAACTACAATGATAAACAAAGATGGGGATGAATTGGTGATTATTTTTGTGTGATTTGATATATGATATGATAAATGATATAGGATAGTTGTATGATATACAGTTAATAACTAGAATATTAAAACCCTCACCAAGTTTTGTAAATGTCTAAGTGAGACTGAGAGTAAAAATTTATTTGTTCCGATTTATGTTTTTTGAGAAATGTGACATATCAAAGCTTACATCTAAAAGCATTCAACACAGGCCAAGTTTCAGCCAATCCACCTTTCTTGAGTTGCGAAAAGCACACACACACAACAACAAAAAATCAAACTTACAAGAACTAGAAGTGTAAATATTCAATTGATAACTGTTCATTATTATGCACTGCACATGAGAGGAAAACTACTGACTGGGTACAATTTCATAGATGGGGACATTGACCGACGATTTGGTTTATCTTCAAGCATAGGCCCAAAGTGGAACACTGCAAAATTCTCATCCATAATACAGATCCAATGCTGTAAACAAAACGCCACTCCACTTGTCGTCAATTTTCTCTTAACATAATTCAACTATCATTCATTTACGATGTAGCAACACCCTCTAGAGAGCTCTCTAAACCACTCATGACTCTGACTAAGTTGCAGCTTATCGTCAATTCCATGTCCAATCTCTTTCGCCGTATTTCAAGTACCATTCTTTAAATATTATGTAGAACTGGTCCCTAAGGGGAACTTCAAAGTACTTTGTGACTTCCTTTCACAAAAAGCTCTTGTAATCTCTACTTTTTTAAATTACTGTAAAAGACCACTATTAAACTACAGTCAAACCTGCTCTAGTGGCCACATTTTTGTTTCCATTGCAAATGGTTTCTCATTGACACATGTACTAAAGAAACCTGTCTACAAAGAACACCTGTCTACAAAGAACACTTTTTGTGTTTCCCTTGGACAGTCGCTATACACAGGTTTGACTACCAGGCAGTCATCTTGATTTTTTTCCTGTGTTGTGCTGTGCTGTTATGTAAGACCTTAGAATACATGTTTTCAAAATTTCTTTGAATTAGGTGCGAACCGAATCGCGTTTCAGATTCTTCAATAGGACAACTCACAGGTAAGAAAGATCTTGAATGACATAGAAAGGAACTAATTAAGCACAACATTCCATGTAATATTCTTTTAAGAGAGTAACGTGAAACAAATGCATAGATCCTTTACAATTCTAATTGATCGGTATGAGCCTTATGCATTTTAAAGCTAAACCAAGCTGACTGAATTCACAACGCGCGACAGCAAAAAAATTCTGAGTGTTACATAAATCAAGGAGAGGTTTCCATTGTAAAACGGCTTCTTAGAAAGCCAAGCGGTCCTTCAGAGTTTTGCTTCTTCAAGTTACATCTCCCTACTGAGAGCCACAAGAGGTGGATTGCTATGCATTTATGCCTACCGTAGACTAGGTACATTTCCATTAGCCTAAACAAGCTGAAGTTGGGATATAAGCCCGTTCAGCTCTTCTTAAAATCATCGTTTAACAATGTCAAATCTGAGATGCATGGCCCTACGTGTTATCAGAGTCTGTGATATGGTAAAATATTGAAGCCCTAAAAAAAATTGCGCTTCAAAATGATCATGAAGTGCCTCAAAAAAGTAAAAAATCTTTGAGTGACCAGTTTTACCATACCTACTCATTTTTCCCAGTAGACTGTAGTGTAATAAAAACCGTTGGGAAAACGGTTTTTTATATTTTGAATTCCAATCATAAATATCTTGATAATCAGACACGCGATCGGCTTGTAAAAGTCATGGGATTTCTGACTGACCTAAAGGTTTATGTTTATGATCACAGCATGAGCTGAATTCAGGATTTTGTTTAGAATCTGAGACAAAGATACCCAATCCCTTTAAAAGTCCCCCTACTCCATTAGTCTATTAAGTCGAGCTATGCCCACTTGCTTTTAAAATTAGCTCAAGCTTCAGAGCATTTACAGTCTGAATGGACCTTAAGTGGTGAATCAACCCATAAAGTGGCCAAATTGCAGGCTGTTTCACGAACAAACCCTACTTTCAGTGACGCATCCAAGATACAATGGCGGGGATAATGGAAACAAGCCCTTTGGAAGAAGTGACCTGAAAATGCAGATGGGAGGTTTTGTGGGACGCAAGCACAAGGCATGCCGACGTACAAGAGCGTGGGTGGGTGGGTGGCAAGATGTAGGCTACAGTTCAAATCATTAGGAATTCCTGGATTATTCAAGACTTTGCGCACACCATCATCCAGATAACACTTTAATGTACTTGTTCTACACATCTACAGATGTGTGGGAATAATTGCAAATTCAATTTACTATTTCGAAATGTAAAATTGAGATTGGGAGGAGAGGATAGAGAGATGTAGGCTACAGTTCAAATTGTGATGTATTATTTAATTCTACTTCAATTTTGTTCTCTTCTTCTTTTTATTCTTTTCCCCATCAATATCATTGTCATTTATTTTGTTGTTTTCATTGCACTGTCATTGTATCTTTTCAGTTCTAATTTATGTTTAACTTAATTTCTATTATTATAATCTTCATGATCATCATCACTACATCACCATCATCTTCATCAAGACTTTATATCATCTTTATATCTTTATATCGTCAACATTTTCGTAATTATTATCATCATCACTAAATTATATCTTTCATCTTTACTAAAGTAATAAGTATAATTTCTAATAAGTATTATTTTCATCATCACTAAATTATATCTTTCATCATTACTAAAGTAATAAGTATAATTTCTATTATATTTATCATTATCAGCATCATCAACAACAATGTCATCATTGCAATCATTACAATCGTGACCTTCATCATTGCGATTACTATCTTACACATTTCTTGGTTATAATTATTACCATCATTACCATTATCATTATCATGATTGCCAATATATTAAAAATGGAATAAAGAAATTTCATTGCTTTTATTGGTTGCTTACTGGCATTGGTATTCTTGAGAGCTCCTTTCCGATGCAGTTCTTGATGATGCTCCAGAGACTCAGACTCTGGTTTGGTTTCTCGGGGATCTTCTTGCGCCTCTGTTTCACCATCGGACCGACTTTGGGCTGTGTCTTCAACCGGTTCGGTAGCTGTAAAAAAAAAAAAAAATTTAAAGTCAGATCTCTATAATTAGTATGTGCTGCAAATTGGCACCAGGATTGGTCTTCCTCAAGCTAAGTGTTTAGTTCTTAGAAATAACTTAAAACCTGTCTGTACTAGTTTGGCCAGGGGGGACTAGACCTCCCTGAAAGGTCACTGACAGGTGGTGATCTCATCAAATCAGCTCTCAATTAACATAAGAAAAAGGGGATCGTGGGGGACCAACAGGCAATGATTAGGCATTGTTGGCTATATAGAGGGCGCAAGTAGCTATAAGTAGTGCAGTGGGACTTTAAGATAACACTGGCTGTCCGCAGGAGGACCATAAGAGGCAAGAGCTATGTATTGGCAGTGACGGCCTTCTTGTGGACAGCCAGACGACAAAAATTATTTCACTCTAAATTTGCCTCAGGATTGTCTTCTACAAGCTAAGTGTCTCATTTCTATAATTGCTTCCCGAAGCTCAAAGTCGTTTAAGCTCGTACACACATTTGTATTGTTCCCAAAAGAGTTTGTCAGATCAATAGGAATTACAGAACAGCCAGATGTTGACAATTCTGTAGGCTGCAAATTAGGTTTCCTATTTTTCCGTCTATTGCTCAAATTTCTTTAGAGCCCTTAAATTGTATTCCATGAATACATTAGGTTGGATTTAATATCCTTTTATCTGATACACAGCATGATGCCAGTCTTCTAAATTACCACCAATTTCTTTCGCTTGGAAGACGAGGTGAAAATATTTCAAAACGTCTGCTTGTTTTACATATTACTTTGTTTTCTGAGGCATCAAAACCAAATAAATAAATGCAGACTTGACTTAATGCTTAGTCTGACTGATTCTTTGAGCGTCAAGTGCTGTCCTCGTCTTTCATTATAAATTAACTGTTATACCTCGTTATTCAAAGAAGAGTGATGACAGACTGACAAAATGACCAAACCCAATCGACACTGCCCTGAATGGCCAAATATCAGTCGGTTCGTAATCGATTTGGTGGTGTATTAAACTCGGGTTACATGTATAACTCTGTACACATATTTTAATAGAGTACATAAATGATGATTGACTCACATTGTTTCCCTCATCCAATTTGTTAATCTGGACCACTGCCTCTACCCCCGGCTGCATCTCTTCTCCACTGCTGGCTTCAGTGCTTGCCACACTCCCCTCACTGGGCGTTCTCCTGTAATAGATTCAAACATGACGTGATTTATAGTATATGGGAGTGTAGTGAATGTCAGAGATTTAAACATGACATGATTTAGAGTATATGGGAATGTGGTAATGATCAGATACTGATATCAGGGATTCAAACATGACATGATTTAGAGTACATGGGAATGTAGTAGTGATCAGATACTGATATCACGGATTCAAACATGACACAATTTACAGTGTATGGAAAATAAAAAGTATATGTAACACGATACAATAGTAGAAATGAATAGACACAAATAGAAGGATTTCAAACAAGACACAAATGATAGTATATGGGAACGTAACTGATGAGCCATGTTATATATATGAAAAGTATTAAACAGAGGTATGTAGGGCATCCTTTCACTAGTACAGCATTTTATTTGGGTCAATTTGCTGTGTGAGTTGTGAACAGTATGGGAATTGATGTACGCAGCGACGGACTTCCTTCCCAAACAAGTTAATTCATACAGCAACAATTTCATCAAAATGTATCTGGGATAAATGCCGCCCATTGGTATCTGTAATCACAATCTATATGTTCAAATCTTCCTCTAATGTGGAAGGATGACTAGACTAAGTATCGGTAGATACTTACATGTTTCCTTCTGTCTTTTGTATTTATTACAGTTTGCTCTTTGTTCCTTTGTATATGAGCTTGTTTTTATCTTTGAAATGTTTTTCTTGTACGCATAAACTGTGAATGTACCCACTATTAAAGACTGTATATATAGTTTTTGATATATGCATATATTTCATATCCTTTATAGATGCTTTTCATAGCGAATAAAGAACAAATGACTAGGTTTACCTGTGATGCAGATTAGAATTGTCTCTTGGCAGTTGAACCGAGGTGGTGAACTGAAATTGCTCTATGGCATCAAAGAACTCGTTCTCGTCATCGTCGCTGTGATCCTCCTTGCTTTCGTCAGAGTTTCCTACAGCAAGAAAAAACAAAAAGATTGAGACGTAAGATCACCGCCTGGCAATGCAGAATGGATGAAAAGAACAGAAGTCCTACAAGATTTGACTTTGATTTCAATAACTGACGTCCAAGTCCAACAAATTCTATCTCATCTAGACAATTATAATTAAGAGAAGTCCTAAAATATCTTACCAGGATTAATCCCTCCCTCACGTTCAGACATAAAGAAGAAAACAAAAATTAAACTATACAACATTGGTGCATTAATGATATAGTTCTGCAATACGTAATCTACTATGTTGTATGTTAGCTACATGAATATGTGTGTGTGCATGTGTGTTTTGAAGCATATCCAACAAATTTTGTTTTAGACATCCAAGGATACAATTCATACATGTATGAGTAAGTATTCTTGATGCAAACTCCTATTCATTCATAAATGAGATTAGTCCTAAAGTGAACAGACTGACAGTGCTAAACGTAGGAGGGAAAAGACAATGGATGCTCAATAATTCTTCATGCATACAAAGTGTAAAGTCTCTGTAATATATCCTCCTACTCGTCCTCAGACAGACAGTCGTAACACAAGGTACAAACAGTGCTGACACGTACCTGTAGAGCAAATCTTCCTGATGTAAACTTTATTCCTTCATGTGTAATTATTCCAAAGGCAAACGGACGGAGAGTTGTAACAGGCAGAATAACCAGTGCTGACACTTACAAACAGCCTCAACCGAAGAAATACGAACAAGGTACAGACGGAGAGTTGTAAGTCCACGCAGAATAACCAGTGCTGACACGTACAAACAGCCTCAACTGAAGCAATACAAACAGTTCAACTCAGCTCCAAACACACTGCCGGCTCTTACTAATTGTTAGATTATCCTGCCACACACATTAACAACTGAAACTTGCTAGTCAAAATAACTCTCCAGTTTAGTTTCCTTTGACGATCAAGCCAACACAAAACCCACTTAATCTTTTTCGCATAGCCCTCGTGATAAAGGCAGGATGCACGTGCCAGAGGTTATAAGAGACGAGCAAAGTATTGCAGGAAACAGACAGTCGGCCCTTCCTTCCTACATTAAAAGTTTTAAATAAAGATTGATTCTTCAAGGCCTAGCAGACTTGAGTACATTCTCACCCACAAATAACTTTCGATTCACCCCCCCCCCCCACACACACACAAATCTTTAATACCGGTAGACTATGTACTCTCACCCATAAATAATATTTGACTATTATTTGCTAATTTGCAAAGGGGAAGAGAGACTTTGACCCCGTTCTCACTCACTTTGAAAGTGGTCTTAGTTAGACCGCTCCAGACCGCTCCAGAGGAACGGGTCTTGAGGAACGGTTTGCGAGCGTTCACACTCCGAGCAGTTTTTATGGCTCAAACCGCTCCACGAGTCAAAGTGGTCTTGTTGCTATGGCAGCTCAGGTCAGCGGGTCAATTTTTTTGCGCGCGGAATACAAACCGTATGTACCGTACTACATGTTTCGCACGTAACGTCACTAGCTCACTTCCGCTTAAAGTACGCTTCCGTTCACATTGCACATTAGAGCGGTCCAAACCGCTCTTAATAAGACCCGTTCCTCAAGACCACCTCGGAAGGTCCACTTCCTGGACCACTTTGACCGTTCTCACTCACCTAAGCAGGGCGCGACAAACCCGCTTGCCCGACGTCCCGGGGCAACCAAATTGAGCCGTCGGGCAAGTAAATCAAATTATCACTTGCCCGATTCGGGCAAGTGATACTTTTACAGTAATTTCCTAGTGTCCAAGAACTCTACCACCATTCACCCGTCAACTTCTTACCCGTCGTCAAAATCCAGAAGCAAAAAAGCGATCGTTCCGATTTCGAAAAAACTTCACAGACAGCTAGCCAGCTCAGCTAGCTCAGCGCGCATGCAACAGTGACACTTCAAGCCATGAATGCCGCTCCGCCTCCACGCACGGCCGGCCGTGAGCTAGCTAGAGACAGCTAGCGCGATCGTACCAGCTGCGAGCTTATTCGCGCTCTCTCTCTCTAGCTCTGCAGGCCGCACCGACAGGCCTTTGCTATTCTCTGATTGCCGATTGGTTGAATCACGCCAAATATGACGTCATTATTCTAGGGAAATGAACACGTGCGAATCGGAATGGAATAAACAACAGGGATTTTCTAGTAAGTACAAAAAGTCAAATGTTTGATATTTATTCATAATGACTGTTAATGATTGTGAACATATTATTTAAAACTCGCTGCTCATATAAATCAGATGAATGTTTTTGTCTCGTTTTCAATTTATTACTGCGGTCTCAAGATCCGACCGAGCGAGTCATTTTGATAATAGTATCGAGACCCCCAGAATATAAGCCGTTGTTGTTTTGTTTTCATGGTTTTAGCGACGTTGTTTAGTCTAGTTTTCGCATACTTATCCGAGATTTATCGTAAAATATCTTCAATATTATTATTTAGTAAGAATTTACAAATTTTGGCATGATATTTATAGCAGTGAATGATGAAATAAAAATGTCCGTACTTTATTTAAAATAGTTGATTACCCATTATTTACATGACGTTTCTTGATGGAAGAGTTGACCCAAATTATTAACAGCTGAAAATTAGCCTACGTTTCCAAATGACAGCGGCTTGCACAGACACACATGTGATGTTGCACCATGGTACATGTGGCTACCATTAATGACATGTTTGTATCATATTTTTTACAACAGGGTCATTATGCTTTTTTACATGACTGAATATTAAAAACTTAAACCTGCTTGAACCATTCTACCTTGCCGAGATTCATGTGAATCTGATTATTTATGGAGAATCAATAAAATGCGTTTTTTAAACCTTCAACCATCCTTTGTTGACCATTTTCTTTGACATATTAGGTTATTATTCAGTACAGTTACACTGTACATGTATGTGCATTAATTTGCTATCTAAAACACTAACTTATCATTACGAGATAATAAATGCTTTAACCTCGAGTCCTTTTTCGCTTTAAAGTTTTGGGCAAGTGGAAATATTGATTGGGCAAGTAAATTGAAAACCCACTTGCCCGACAGGGCAAGTGGTGAAAAAAATTCTTGTAGCACCCTGCTAAGAACCGCTCCAACGAAGTGAATGAGAACGGGGTCATAGACAGGAAACATGAAAATTAGTTTACTGATGTCTTGGTTTGAAATATACAATATGATATTGTGCACAGTTTTCAGACGGGTTGTTACAAATAGCTCGTTCAAAAGTATCTAAAGAAATTAATATCTGGAACACTGTTTTTTTTACTCTGAACTTGATTGAACTTGATAGAAACAAGGAAATAAAGTTAACAGTAAAGTTCCCTGATCTCTAGAGAGTGGTCAATCACCAATATAGCAGATTCCACACTTTTGTTTGACTCATGTATGAAACATTCATCTGCCCTTTGACTAAAAGTAATTTGAGCTCGTTTCAGTAGCATTGCATTACAGAGAGAATATCTTTTATCCAATAACATTATCCATTTTAGGGAATGGAACACAAATAGTAATGACCTTCATGGTATTTTTATCTTAATGATGCTGATACTCTTTTTTATTTCAAGAATACATGGATATTTCTTATATTGTTTTGGAGCTGAATGGACAGGAAATCAGGAGAGAGTTGGGATTTTTTTTCTCCTATTAAAGGGGAAGTCCATTTTGAAATCAAGTTGATTTATATGAAAGCATGAATAATATATGAACAATTTGTCAGAGAAGTTGGAGATCAATGATAAAGGATTTTTTTCTTCTTTCAAATTCAAGGTTTTAATATCAGTACACTAATCTGTTGTTTTGATTTGGTTTTTGATTGTTTGCTTATTCCTTTTTGTGTGAGCATTTCTCTATTTGCGTTTACAATAAATGGAAAAATAGTATTTCCTTCAAAGAAAATTTAATCTTAAACATGTGCCTGAAATATTGGATTGGACACATGTCTATACTGTCCAGAAAATTGTAACTTGACATGTCAAAAGAAAACACTGGTATCAATAGTGGCATTTTTGTGACATTCTGAGCACTTCATAGTAATTCATGTTGTAAGAAATTCTGCATGATGGTATATACACCACGCTCAATGTAACTTTGAAGCAATTTGAACATACCGGGCAACGATAGCTCAATAATTATTGGAGGTGATACTATGATCATCTGTACAAGGTCATAATCATCTTCAAGTGTTTTTGTGATGATCTAGATCTGTTTCCCAATGTGTAGTCTGTAACTAAAGACTCTGTATGCATACTTTTGATATCACATTCTTAAAGGTAAAGACCAGTTTTGGAAACGCCCCAATTTAAAAAAATGAAATGGAAGCTCTTATTACCAATCATGTGAAAGAATATGTTTTGAATAATACATGATGATAAAAATGTTGACGGGAAACCGCCTACTAATTGATATATTTGGTAAATTAGTGTATCTCTCGCCTGTTGAGAGATACAAATGCACGTGTCGCGCACGTGTGTGTAGTCCCATATACATCTTTCTGTGTACAGTGATTCTAACTTTATGAAGACTTGGCCAAATTTCTTATCATTTTGATGATTCCAAAACTTTTGCAGTACATCTATGCTAGATGATCAACCTTTTCTGATCGATTTCACAATGTTTCTTTCACAATGCAATCGCATGACCAGAAACCTTGCAAGTCTTCTCATTCTATAATATATCCCAAGTTGGCCACCCAATATTCAAATGTGGATCTGCTTTGTTTTATCTTTATATATCAAATTGAAATCCAAATACTACATACATCTGTGAATCTTGATTTACACTCCCTATTTCTTTTTCTCTTTTTTTTCTCTCTCTCTCTCTCTCTTCCCCTTTTACCAATATTTTTTCATCCATATTTGTATTATTATGTATCCATTGAGGGTAGTCATGCTATCAAGCTTTGCTTACTTTGTCAACCCTCCCGTTTGATGTTTTCGATTAGTTACAGCCAGTCTTACTTTATTCTATTCCAAAACATGGAATATTACATAAAACTAGTT